AAAAAAAAAAAAAAAAAAAAAAAGAAATAGAACAATGGACCATAGGTGCTATAAAAAAAAAAATAAAAATAAAATGGGAAATTTTGTGTTATGTGTATTTTAGCAGTTTAAAAACACAAAGGATTAAATCCTATAGCCAATTTTCAAAGAAAAGTCCCCATTCTCTTCTACTGTATTTTAAATTTGGTAACACCTACAGCTTATCTAACACAAATAGAAGGCAAAATAAACACACAGCACATGAGCATCAGTGAAATACTTTGAGACTCACCAGAGCTAGGCCTCATTTGGCAGCTTGTGAGCACACAAATGCTTGTGGCTGTGTTTTTTTTTAATGCCAGATTTTCTAAGAAAATTTGTTTTATGCTTTGGAAAATAAAAATGCTCTTAAAAAAATAACCCTAAAAATCCAATTACCCAGTGCCCCTTTACCTACAGTTTAATAATCATTATATCAAGGAAGTCTATTTCAATGGCTCTCAGTTGTGCAAAGGTCAAAGGTTATGAAGCAAGTTTAATTTCTGTAAGAGAAAAACATTATTGTCTAAGACTTTTCATAACGAGGACTGCCCTATGGGGAATAAAGACTCAGAACCAAAGTCTACAACATTTCCTATCTTTATACTAATTTGAAGTTTACAGAGCGATTCCAAATAACATGCTTTCATCTGGACCTTACAAGCTACTCCATGAAGTAGGTTTTAATAGCACCAACCTTGAGGAGAAGAACACAGAGTTTAAGTGATTTGATAAAAATCATCAAGCTACTATGCAGGTAGTACCTAGGTCTTAAAACTTCAAGCCCATTTTTGTATTTCCCTAACCCTTAAATTTAGCTCTCCAGTCGAAGGCTTTCTTGACCCCCAGGCAGGGGAGGGAGGTTTCACTGGTTGGGACATGGGGGCCATTTCCTGTGCAGCAGCACAGTCCCAACAGCACCAGGGCCTCATCTCCTCACCCGGAACATGAAATATTACTTGACATACCTACCAGTCAGTATGCTTTTTTTTAAAAAATTTTTTTTAATGTTTTATTTATTTCTGAGAGAGAGAGAGACAGCTTGAGCAGGGGAGGGTCAGAGAGAGAGGGAGACACAGAATCTGAAACAAGCTCCAGGCTCTGAGCTGGCTGTCAGCCCAGAGCCCGACATGGGGCTTGAACCCATAAACCGTGAGATCATGACCTGAGCCAAAGTCGGATGCTCAACCGACTGAGGCACCCTGGCGCCCCCAGTCAGTATTCTTTGTAGAATCAAAGCAAATTACATGGGAGGGCATTTTATCTATCTATCTATCTATCTATCTTAAATAGCTTATTGTCAAGTTGGTTTCCATCTATCTATCTATCTATCTATCTATCTATCTATCTATCTATCTATCTTAAATAGCTTATTGTCAAGTTGGTTTCCATATAACACCCAGTGCTCGTCCCAACAAGCGCCCTCCTCCATGCCCATCACCCCCCTTCCCCTCTCCCCCATCAGCCTTCAATTTGTTCTCAGCATTCAAGAGTCTCTCATGGTTTGCCTCCCTCCCTCTCCCCAACTATTTTTCTCCTCCTTCTTCCCCATTGTCCTCCATTAAGTTCCTCCTAATCCTCCTATACGTGCAAACATATGGTAGCTGTCCTTCTCTGCCTGACTTATTTCGCTCAGCATAACATTTTAAAAGCATAAAATAAAATGTTAAGTTATTACAAGGCATATAGTTGTCAGGAGACTATGACTTCATGACTCTTATCATCAGGAAGGTAGAGTATGTATGCATGTATGCAAAACAAACAAACAGACCAGAAAGTGTGACTGGTGCCCAGGGTGGTTTGGAGGTAGCGACAAACTGGGGGCTGTAGGCAGACAGGAGGAGGGGAGACAAGCCTGCAGTTGAGGTTCCAGAGACCCTAAACTCTCAGGCCTCACCTCAGACATTTCAAGATGCTATGGAAGGATATAGGGTAACCCCGTCCATGTCCCACCTATATCCTTGGATAAAAAGGCTACAGAATTGAACCTTACAGTACATACATTAGACACAGCGGCAAGACACCATGCTCAGCCCAGATTCTGGAGGGCTCCACAATGGGCTGGAGGTGAAGAATCTGCTAAACCTAGCTATTGCTTTCACTCCAGGGTTTGGTAGCTTCCTGACACTGTGGGCTGTGCCTTCATTTATTCACCCTCCAAGAGTGGCCTGGCTGGGAGTTGGCCGAGGCACAGGTGGAAGGCTATGAAGCCAGTAGTCTGGTGTTGGGAGTTGGGGACAGAAATGGAGAGCAATGGGGCTGCCATAAGCCTTTCTGCCTCAGGTTTTACTTTGTTCGTTCATCCCATCTGCAAACATTCATTGAGTGCCAATCTCCCCGCCAGTCTTCTCAGCACTGGCAAAGCAGTGATGGATCAGACAGCAAGGTTCCTCCCTCAGGACATTGACATCCTGGTGGGGAAAGACAGATAACAGACCAATGAAAACAAACAATGTCACGGTAAGTGCTATGAAGAAAAAAGCCAGGAAGTGTGACAGAGTGCTGTGCGATCACGACAGGCCTGAGAAGACAGCATTTAAGCTGAGACTCAAATGTCAGATAATAAGAAGGAACAGATATGGAGGAAAAGCTTTCCAGGCAGAGTACTAGCACGTGCAAAGTCCCTGAGGTGGGAAACAAGCGTAGCTTGTCGGAGGAAAGACTGAAGAAAATATAATGAGCTCAGGTCAGAGGGGTAGCCAGAGAGCTAACCAGATTAGTTAGGGCCTTTTAGGTCTTGGTAAAAAGTCTGGCTCTTACTCTCAGTGATCATGGAAATTCCTGGAGCACAAAGGAGTAACATGTCTAATTTATGTTTTCAGATGAGTCTGGTCTGACAGATCATATGATATCCCTAAAATTCTCTCTTAGAATATTCCATTTTAATAGTTCTCTCATTAAAACCCAAGAGGAGTCATGGCTTAATTGGAATTAAAGTGTATACCAGTATCACGTTAGTAGGAATCCACCAGAATAAGAGAAATATGGAGGATCAGGAGACAGGAAAGATGACAATGTAGAAGGCAGGACGGCCGCCAGCTACCTATGGTGCCTCCCAGGCTTATCTTCACAACTCATCTCCACAACCGGGAGCTGATACCCTGAGCCACCTCATGTCTGTGCCCGGCTCCTCACCCCTGATCCAGAGGGCACCTGTGACAGCTGCAGAGGACAGCTACCCACCTTTGGGCCCTCATCTTCCGGCCTGTGCCAAGAAGTCTCCCTTCCAGCTTCTGTAGCCCATGGGCCATCTGGAAAGAGCAAGGCAAGAACCTGAGGGGTGTCAAAGGGAGAATGCCTCAGTAACCCCTTTTCCTTGTGTGATCCCATGATTGCCACAACAGGGAGGAAAAAGAGGTCAGTGGGCCCCTGGCTGAGTTTGCAGCCCATACCTTTCCAGCTTGCAACTGGCTTATCTAGATACTGCCCAGCATGCCTGAATGATACAACAGAGAAAAGGGCCTCTGCTGGATTCCTTCTTCCCTTTCCTTTAACTATCCTACACTGAATCATTTCTCAGAGACCTTGGGTATTTTTGACCTACATCCAGGTCCAGCAAGCTATGAAGTTACTCAATACTACTTGATTAAGGCAAGTTTTTGCTTCTCCTCAGGAGGGTCAACAAATTGCCTTAAGAAATAAAACCGGTCGTGGTACCCTTGCTGCAATCTGTCTTAGTACATAGATGATACAAACGTCACAATCATTCCAATCTTAAGTCAATTATATACCTTTATATTCTGGGAGAGAAGAACTAAGCAGATCCTACTAGTTTATAACCAAGAGAATAGGAGGAGGTAAGAAAGAGAAGAAAGAAAAACTATCAGAACAAAATGACTGCTAGATGCTTCTAAAGAGTTGGATCTATTTGCTTTTGCAAAAAGAGTGATAGAGAAGAGAAAGGGTAGCTTCTGTGTCCCACCTCATGCTCCCACCCCCACCCCCAAAAGGATGGGGAGGAGAGTAGAGAAAGAAATCACCAGCATTCATGAACCCCAAAGGGTAAGCATCCAATTATTGTTTCAAAAGCTATTTCAATCGGAACACACTAACAATTTCTTCCTTTTTTAAACTGCTCACTTAAAAATCAGATATGGTAGGCCTAAAGGGATATTTGAATTCATGCAGTCCAAATTACTTCACTGATGAAGAATCAAGCCCAGAAGGTTTTCGGATAGTTGAAGTGTTAGGAAGGGAACCTGGGTCTCCTGACTCACACTCCCTTTAATTTTTATTATGTATTTTTATATAGAAAACAAAAGCCCATTGTAGGACAACCAGTCCCAAACAGGAAATCATCATATAATCACTATTAGCATTTTCCTTTTACCATATGCTTACAGGTCTCCCTTGACATGTTATAATCGTATTGGACTAATGTTCTTTCCAATGCACCTCCCATTACCAAAAAATATACAACAGAACTATTAATAGGGCTTGGAATTCACATCCTTTTCATGGAGTATTCAAATAACTCTCAAGAAATCCTGGAACACAATAATCAAGAATCAACCTGCTTAAGCTCCGAGCAGTTGTTTACCTACCTGGTGCATCAGGTACTTGAAGAGGGATAAAAGGATCAGATACACTTAGAAGTGGGAGGCTAGAATCCACAGTCTGCCCACCCTTTCTTTTTTCGGCTGGAGTGGGTTGGAGGGGAAGAAAGGGTCAAGGAGAGAAAAAAAGAGAAAAGCAGAAAACATCAAGTAAATCTAGATGAATGTAGCATCTATTAACCCATCAGCTCTAATTGAAGAGTAAATCTAAACTCAGAGGCAGAATAAAGACAGATGAGTAGATATAATCCAGAGGAAAAGGCAAAATATATATGAGATAGATAATCCGGTCCTTGCAACACACTCAACGACGTAATGAATGATAAAACTGGTATTATATTTATACCCCTGAAATTCTACTTCTTCTATGTGTGGAAGCTTACGGTGGTCTCTCAGAATTCCTGTAGTGATTATTGACCATATTACACATTTTGGCATATAAACCACTTTGGCATATAAACAAACACTGCTTGTTTTGTAATCTAGCACATATGTATAAGTACTTCCAATGTGCCCTTTACCCTCTTGAGGTCACGGTATCACCAAATGTCTAGGCATGCTAGGCAGACAGACAGAAAGAAACAGAAATAGACTTCCTGCCTGTTGCAAGCCCTAACCTCTGGACTACATCTAACATTTACTGACATTCATTCTATATTTGGCAAACTCACAGGTTTACAGAAATCTATACACCCTATTGGATATCAGGGCTTGAAGGGATCTTAGGATTTTCTAGCACAAATTTCTCATTTTACAGAAAAGAAAAGGAAGCCCAGAAGTTAAGAGACTAGCCAGAGATCTACCAGCAGACCCAGGATCAGAACACAGGTTTGCCGGTCTCTCCTTTACCATTCTTTAACTGCATTTTAATATTCAGTTTACTCAGTAATTAAAATCTCATTTGCCAGAAACAATGAAATCTGGCCATGTGTAGCAACATGGATGGACCTTGAGGGTGTTATGCTGAGCGAAATAAGTCAGGCAGAGAAGGACAAATACCATATGTTTGCACGTATAGGAGGATTAGGAGGAACTTGACGGAGGACCAAGGGGGAGAAGAAGGGCGGAAATGGTGGGGGAAAGGGAGAGAGGCAAACCATGAGAGACTCTTGAATGCTGACAAAAACTGAGGACTGATGGATGTGGGGGGGAGGGGGGGATGGGCATGAAGGAGGGCACTTTGGGGATGAGCACTGAGTGTTATGTAGAAACTAATTTGACAATAAACTATTTGTAAAAAAAAAAAATAAATAAAATCTCATTTGCCTTCTACAGAGTGGATCTTTAAAACTACTTTTTATTTTCAAATAATTATGAAATCATAGGAAATTGCTGTACATAGTGTCCTGGGAACATTTTCAACCAGTTTCCTTCCATGATGAGATCTTTTACAACTGTAGGTCGATACTGCTGACATTGTTACAATATTCTTAATTAATTTTATAAAGTTTTTACATACGTGTGTGTGTGCAGTTCTTTGCAATTAGACCCTATGTATAGATTAGCATAAGCACCACCATAACAACGATATACAACTGTTCCATCAAACAAAAGGACCTCCTTATTTTCCTTTACAGTCACACAGTCCTTATTCCAGTCCCTACCTCTTGGAATCTGTTCTCAATCTCTATAATTTTGTCATTTTGAGGTTATTAAGTGGGTTTTTAAGTTTCTAAAGGTAGACAGGAGAAGAGGGGGATAAAATTACTACTATTAAAAATCTCTAAAAATTTTTTAAAAAAATAAGACACAATGAAATATATTAAAAAAACACAAATTATATAACTGGATATATTCATTTTTGAAAAAAGTATATATGCAGAAATAAAACTATGGACATAAATATTGTAAAATGTCAGCAATGTTCTCCTCTTAGAGTGGGATTGTGAGTTTTTATCTTGCTTCTTTGGGCTTTTAGTCATTTTCCCAAAATTACACAAATGAATGTATGTAACTTAACAGAAAAATATTTTAAATAAAGAGGCACAATGTCAAGTTCCAGATGTCTGTTGCAACATATGGACACAGTTCATCAACATTTTTGCAGCTTTTAACATAAAAATGTTTAAAATAACCCTTCTGCCATCCTCCCTGACTTATTATGAAATTTCCTGCTTATTTCCTTCCTTGGTTGATCAGATGGTTTAAAATCAGTGAACAGGCTGAGCTTGGTTAGAAAACTTGTAGAAAATGGCGCAATCCTATATTTCATACAAGTGAGGACATACTGATTTCTGGGGTTTAGATACAATTTTCTTTCTTTTGTAAAGAATGAAAGTGTCACACATACATAAAGTTTATACCACAAACAAGAAAGAAGGAAAAATAACAAATGTTCATTTTAAAAGACTGGAGAAGATGAAAAAAAAATGAAGACATTTTATAATGTTTGCAAAAGCTTAGTGTCACTGATTTATAAAGATTCTTGAGATGTGGTTATGACTATAGCTGCTGGGCTGGGCTGTTCAGGTTCAAATTTCTAACCTGTCATTCTCCAGTTGAGTGACCTTGGGCAGGTCACTTAACTTCCCATGGGCTGTTTTAAGGACCACCTGAGCTAATGCATAAAAAAGCACTTACCAGTGGGCTTATTAGCATGCAGCAAGTGCTCAGTATATGTTCACTGCTATTACTGTCGTCACTCTATTCAAATGTGTGTTTAAGGTGGGGCCTTTAAGTCCCTTAAAAAAATATGGTCATTTATAGCCTACAAAGTAAGCATAAAGGGGAAGAAGACACTACAACAAAAAAAGAAACTGTTTTTAAAAAATAGTTCATACAGACAAATAAACAGCAAAACAAACAACAAAACATGATAAGTAAGAATCATAGACACTGAAACTGGGAGCAGATAGAAAAGTTGTAGGGACCTCTGTCATTAACATTGGTAAATCCAAGCTCCTATCCTTAGGCAAAAAGTAGGTTTATATTAATTCAACAATCTGTACAGCACCAAACACTATACTAAATGCTAGGATTCAACAGCAAAGAAGACTTTCCTAGAGCTTACTTCTCCCATGATCCCCTTTCCGGGGAAACTATATCCTACCCAGTACCATAGCTGGACATTATTGTGATGCTCTATCCCAAGGACAACAGGAAATGCTTTATACATTTGGTACATTTAGTTAACTATGTGGTATATCAAACTGGAAGCACTTTAAACCAGATCAAAATATCAGTGCATATAAAAATTACACAGGCAAGAGAATAAAGCTGAAAATGAAAAGTAACACAAAGAATTTTAACTATTTAATATTAAAAAGCACATCCCCCAAATAAGTCCAATGTGTATTCCAAAATAATAACATGAGAATATTATGTGAAGACTTACAGGATACGGTTAAAACTCCAGTTTTTTTCTGACAAGGGAAACACACACCTATTAGAAAGCAATCTCAATAAACAGTTTAATCTTCAAAGGTCAGGGTGGGGTAGGCAATTAAAGAGAGGAAAAAGAGAATATGAAAATACCCGTGGAGAAGTCTTCCTGCAGATTATAATTAGCCTCTCTCCCCACTCTCACGCTGGTTGAAAATCACTGCTATCTTTGGAGAAAAACTCTAAACACTTTTATTGCATTAAAAAAAATTTTACTAGGTGTTCCTTTTAGTACTGGGAAAGCAAATCTAAGAAAAACAGGCATCTATAATAAAAAATAAATAAAAGTAAAAGAATTAGAAGACAGAAAAATGGTAGATTTTATAAATCTAAAAGCTGTCTGAAAGATACTAAAACAGCAAAATCTCTAGCTAAAGTTACCAAGAAAAAGAGAAGCACAAATACATACAATTAAAACTGATGTATACAAATATTATAAAAGGTGTAAACGCACTATCTATTTTATTTAAAAAATTTTAAATGTGTAGATGATTTTCAAGAAAGATATTACTAAATTTGCCTCATTCTATGGCAGGAAACTTGAGAGGGGAAGTTCTGGAGCCAGAGGGTTGGTGTCCCAGCTCTGCCACATCCTAGCTCTGTGACTCTGGAAAAGAGACTAGACTGTGCTCAGTTACTTCAATTGTGACTAATGTGGAGACGGTGTTGAGGGTCAGAAGAGATAATAGGGTCATTAAGAGGGTCAGGTGAGATGATACTTGTGCAGGACAAACAACAAGCTGGGGAAGATGTTTACAACAGAAGACATATGAAAAACTTTTACAAATTAATAAGAACAAAATGAACACAATCCCCCCCCCCCCCCAAAAAAAAGGTAAAGGACATGAACAATGATATATCCCAGAAAAAATAAAAATGGCCAGTAGACCCTGCCCTCTGTTTACAGCCTCTGAACTGTGCTGGGTGAGGAAATGGTGGGAAAATTATTCTCATTCACTGTTGATCAAAATAAAATCTATATAGCATTCTCAGAGGCCAATTTAGAAGCAGGTAACAAAGCCTTAAAAGACATATATCTTCTGATTTAATAAAATCACAAGTTATCTTAAAGAAACTGTAAAGGATATTATGTAATGACAACCAAAGTTCCAATAAGAAATGTACATACGAGGTTAGAAAAACTAACACACCTAAAGAAAGCAGGAAGAAAGAACATAGAAGGTTAAAATCAGAAATTAATCAGTATAATTAAAACAATTTCAGAAGTATATCAAATTCCATTTGTACAAAGAATATATATATATATATACTTAAAACCTCACACCCGCTGCTGAGGAAATTGTAATAGTAAAACACTGAAAGCAAATTAATGTTTAAAAAAGAGGTCACTTGGTTAGATGCCTTAGGACAAATGCATATGAAGCAAATTAATGCTTTTCAAAATTTATCTTTTAGGAACTTCTTTAATGATATGGGAAATGTGCCAGATTTAGGGAGAAAATCTGGTTTTAAAATAGGACTACAAAGATGTACATTAGAGTATTAAGCTGAGACTGAAAATTGTGTGCAAAATTGTGGTCATGTATTTTAGTGAGGGAGAAGATCTAAAACTTTCATTAGATTCACTAAGATATCCATGACCCTACAAAGGTCAAATGTCACTAATAGGCACCAAAATGGTATCCCTGTGCTGTTTCTTAGTGGTGAGATTATGGTCATTTTAACTTTTTTCCTATGCTTTTCTATAAATATTACTTTTATATAATAAATATGTATCATTTTTTAATTTTAAGAAATGTTAACTGAAGTATAGTTTAGTATGTATAATTTTTGTTAATAAAGGAGAAAATTAATTTTTTGCTATTGCTTCTTTAATACCAAAAAAGGTCTAATTTTTAAAAAAAGGTATTCCTCTCCCCATAAACACACACATGCAAAAAAACACCCCTCAGTAGAGTCTTGGATAAAGGACAGGACATCTAATTCTTAGAATTCTTCAAGTCATTCCACAGAACCTAAACAATTACAAGAGATTAACAGAGTGATGTTCTTTAATTTAAAAATGTTTGCTTAAAGTATATATGTGAGCCAGGGAGAACAAATCCTGTATAATACTGACACATCATCCTGTCATTTTAATTCAAAGTGATTCCAGTCATTTCTTTATTCCTATTGTTTATATTGGAAATCTTCTGAATAAAAGGAACTATAAGTTAACACCAAGATTTGGGGCTCATTGGTGTGCCACAGCTTTCTGTGAAGGAAACAAGAGTGAACCCTGTGTTTCAGGCATTTGTTATACTAACCGGTTCCAGCAGAAAATGCGGGAGTGGCAAAGGCATCACCTTGAGTTGGTTGAAAGCCTGGGATCAAACTCTCGGCTGAGCCTCCAAGCTTCTCAGGATGTTTGCCTGGAGGGACAAAGCACCACTCAGTTCATTCCAGCAGAATCCCATGATGTGCACACACATGCGGGAGATGAAGGGCACCTTCTCAACTGACTTCTAGACTTCCTTTTACTATATTATGGCAACACCTCGGCTATTCAAAGGTCTCTGTCTAGTCATTGCAATAACTGAGACAACAGTGAGAAAAGGAAGTTTTAAGAACCAATGACAGCACATCAGTTTTGCAAGGCAAAAAGAGTTCTGGAGATTGGGTACATGACTGTGTGTATGTAACTAACACTACTGAAATGTACGCTTAACAGTGGTTAAGAAGCTAATGTTTATGTCATGTATATTTATCACAATTAAAAATTTTTTTCAAATAAATAAGTAAAAAGCAACAAAAGAGATGGCTGGAGCGAAAGCCCTAAAGCTTAAGCACAGTACTCAGAGCAGGATGCCTCCAGTCCTTACTCAGAATTCATTTGTTTTTATGTAACTCTAATGAGTTTGCCAATCTCTTTTCTGCAGTGGAAACAGTTCAGGAGTGCACAGGAGAAGGGGGTGTAGGGGAAATGGCAGGACTGAGACGTGACAAGGGACAGGCTCAGTGGTAGCAATTTAATGTGACAGAAGAGAGACAGGAATTATTAAAAGTAGACATAAGAATTTTACAACTTAGGAGTCTCTCTTTTTTTTAACATTCATTTATTTTTGAGAGAGAGAGAGAAAGACAGCATGAGTGAGGGAGGGGCAGAGAGAGAGGGAGACACAGAATCTGAAGGTTCCAGGCTTTGAGCTGTCAGCACAGAGCCTGACGCCGGGCTCAAACCCACGAATCACCAGATCACGACCTGAGCCAAAGTTGGATGGTTAACTGACTAAGCCACCCAGGCAGCCTTAAACTTGGGAGTCTCTTAATCAAGTGCAAAAATACTAGAATTTTCAATAGCCCACGAAGGTATTCTAGAACAATACTGGCATACATAACAATGTGTCTGTTATTCTAGAACAATAACTGGCATACAAAACAATGAAATAATTTGACAATGAGTTAGTTAGTTGTCGGTTAGAGTTAAATCCTATAGGGGTGTCTGGATGGCTCAGTTGGTTAAGTGTCCGACTTTGGCTCAGGTCATGATCTCATGGTTCGTGGGTTCAAGCCCCACATCAGGCTCTGTGCTGACAGCTACCTCAGAGCCTGGAGCCTGCTTCAGATTCTGTATCTCCCCCTCTCTCTGACCCTCCCCTGCTCATGCTGTCTCTCTCTCTCTCAGAAATAAATACATTAAAAAGAAATTTAAAAAAAGAGTTAAATCTTATACCCTGTCTTTGGTTTAAAATGATAAGAAGGGACACTTGGGTGGCTCAGTTCATTAAGTATCCTTCTTCAGCTCAGGCCATGATCTCACTGTTCTTGAGTTTGAGCCCCACATCAGGCTGTCTGCTGTCAGTGCAGAGTCCACCTCGGATCCCCCTCTCTCTGCCTGTCTTCTGCTTGTGCGTGCATTCGTGTGCACGCTCTCTCTCAACTCAAAAATAAATAAATAAGCTATAAAAAAAAATAAAAGGACAAGAAAGTAATACAAATTTTTAAAAGATATCTATAAAGTAATAGTTAAAGCTAAAACGTCTGGTCAAAATTCGTATCATTCACTTGGCTCTGATCACTCCTTTACCCTGTGCTCTTGTCTAATGCTGAGGTACTCTTTTTGAAGAATTTTCCCAGTGTGCTGTTGTTTTCCAAAGTGCATGTGCATGCCTCTGTGTGTGTCCTGCCTTCCAAAATAGACTGTGAGGGTGGAAATGGTACCTTCTATTTATTTGATTGCCTTTTCACAGTGAGAATTCTGATCATAGTCCAAGAGTCAATGTTCATGTGAGGGCACACTGTCCTGGGTAAGCACAAACAACTTTCTGAGACAAGAAACACACTCAGGAGAAGAAAACCATCATGCTCATCTAAGGAGTGACCATGCCTGACACTATCATCCTGATCTCTGCTACCAAATATTTCCTAAGAGAGACCCACTCTCTTTGCCACTGCCTGCAGCGAGCCAGGAGTTCCTCAGGATGCAAAGACGTTAGTGCTCTGGTAAACATTCCAATCTGTGCCCATGCTTCGAAATCAAGCCGTTGAGGGAAAGAAAGAGCCAACCTTACATTTTCACAGGCATGCCCCTCTGGAGTTAGGGTTTAAGAATCACAGAAAGATACCAATTGCTCACCTTCCCCCAGCTTGGCAAAGTCCTTGTTCAGCAGTTCTTCAGCTGTGAGTTTGGAGAAATTGTCGTCATCGAAGGGATTCCATGTAGAACCTTCAGAAGCATTATAAACGTTTTGCTGGGAGGTCCGAGGAGAGCCTGACGGAGTGGTGGTTGCAGACCTAGGTAGGTTCCCACCCCCACGAAATGAAAAAGTTGAAAAAGGGTCAATCTACTTCCTCTGTTTTGAGATCAAATTGTTTTCTAAGTCAAACCATTATTATCAAGTGCTGTCCCCGGCAATTGCAGTTTCCACAGGTCCTTTTCTCACTGTGTGAAATAAATGGCTCCTTTTCCTTCGTGATCATTTATCTCCCACTACTTTCATCTCTGGCTTAGATTTTTGGTCGCATCTGCAATCCTTTCAGTCCAGAATCCCAAAGCAAACTGTCCTTAGGCTTGTGCCTCCTGTGGCACCCACACCCACTGAAACACCCACAATAACTGACCCCAGAGGGGCCAGGACTGGCCTCTTTTCAGGCTGCCTCCCATCTGTCAGGATCTAGTCCACACAGAATGAAGGGCCACCGTGAGTCTGAGTCATCACCATCACAGTTAGAAAGAAAGAAAGACAGTTATCACTATCTTGTGGTATCATTACCTCATTTTCTTCTGAAGTCTCCCTTGAGACTTTGCATTTAATTAATGACTTAAAGATTTTTCACATTAGAGTACATGACTCCAGGAAAGCTGAGGGCTGAAACTGAATTTACCTAGCAAGCACTCATTGCTGTCTACTTTATTTCAGGCACAAAGCCAGTCACTGGATTTACAAAGGTTAAGACATGGTCTTTGTCTTGGAGGAATTGGCACGCTACATCAGCTGGATATACAAATAAATAATGATAATACAATATGATACAATCTCACAAAAGGTTCAGACAAACTTATATATGACACCAAGGAATCAAAGAAAAGGTAACCTCTGACATGGATCTTGATGAATAAATAGGCATTCCCTAGGCAGATAGGGAGGGTAGTGGCAGTCTGGAGAGAGGGCATAGGATGAACAAAGATGATGGAGAATGACAAGTCCACCAATGTGATACACAGCTTTTGGTCTGTAGCCAATGAGGTTGAGATATTATCACACAGGCAATGGGGAGCCAAATGAGGGATTTTCAGCATGGAGAGATTTGGTCAGACTACGAGTTTAAAAAAATACCCCATGGAACATGGAATGGGTGAGGGAATAGAAACAGTAAAGCAAGTGTGAAATTATTTCTTAAGATCAGTGTGGTCTATGTACTACAGGCAAATTCAGTTTTTTAATAAACACAGACACCTACCCTTACATGTGCATCTATACCCATCTGCACACAGATACAAAGAATTACACAGCCCTGGTCCATAGCAGCTCTGGCCCACAGCAGTAAGAAAGATAAAGAGGAAGCACCGCATACTTGGACTTATTGAGGCTGGCCTCAGCTGCAGCTGCCTGGAGCAGCTGGGTTGATTTGCTGGCAGGGACCCCGAAGACTGCACTGTGGGTTACGTCACTGAGAATCCGCCTGTGCCCAGCACGTTGGGTCTTGGGGGATGATGGAGGAGTGAGAGATCCGAGTTTCTGTCCCTGGACGGCAGGAGGTGGGGTTGTTTGAACCTTTGGCTGTTGTCTTACTGGGGCTTGAATCTGCTAGGAAGAAAAATGACAAGTGTCCCACCCCCAAAAAAAGGTGGGGGGGGATGAAAAAAAATAAACAGATAAGCATAATAAAAAAATGCCACATGAGAGCTCCATGCAATTTAAATGGCTGAATTTACCAATAACAATCAGAAAGAAAGAAACCCGGTTTTTTACAATCTGAGCTTTAATTCTGGGACTGATGCCAACATGTTATTTATCTGATGCTTATATGTAAATCTCAGTCCTTCATCAGCAATGGTACCCAGACTAATCATATACAATACAGTCCAGAGCATAAGACTACAGAAGCTATTTCTAACTCCGAAAATCGAGAATGTATCCTACAGGACAACTTCCAGCTCCCAAGGTCACACAGGCACTCACTCAGAATGCCTCCAAAGAGCATGCATGCTTTAAGCAATTGACCACCACGGACAGAAGCCAATGACAGCACACCTCCAGCTAAAACACATTTGAGCTGAATAATTCCTGCTAAGAGACCCTTGACTCTGACGTAACTCAGACTACTGGTTTGGAGTAAGTGAGGATTCCACTGTGATATACAAATGGTAGTGCTTTCTTTGTTCATTTTGTTCTTAAGGCTCTTTATTTCATTGATAAGATGGGTATACAAGATTCTATTTCTGTTCTCCCCTGAGAAAACGTACAGCGTCAGGGCTGTGGGGTTAACTTGTTCCAACCTTCAGTTTGGAAAAGGCACTGAGGAACTGGGTAGAGACTATAATAAGAAATAAAAAATTTGAAAAGTGCATGATGACAATTGATCTAATAACACAAGGAGTCTTGAGATTTGGGCCATTTTCAGGAGGCAGAACAAACTGTCACCAAAGAAAAGTAAATAGGAACATCTTTGCGGCTACTTGGTTAGACTTTAAGCCTAAGTCACAGCCTACAAAGTGCTATTTTCAAGAAGAGGAACAAAAAATCGTATTAAGAAGGCCACCTAACCCTTTAATTTTGTCAATCTTGAGACAGAATTATTTAGAATATTAAAGGCCCAGGTATTCACTATTGCTTCCCTCTAGTCCCTTATCTCAGATTAAGATGCCCCGTCCATGCTGTAGCTCAGTTTTCACATTCTGTGTGTTTGAAGGTAGGTCCTGAGAGAAAGAGGAAACCAGAGGGTCCAGCTACTTGGGCCAGGATGCTGACCAGCCTGGGATTTTCTGTCCTTATATTGATTCAGAGTCTGAATTTTACTGAGGCAGGTTATGTACATATATGAGTACACAACCACTCACCAACCGAATGGATAAGAATATAAGGCTCTAATATCAGTCAAACGAAGGTCAGAGGGTAAAGCAGCTGAGGCACCTCTGAGGGAGAAGCAGAATGCACTGTAAAGACCAGAGCTCTGGCTTCACAACTTCCTTCAGGGACCCAGGGATATACTTGCAACAGCCAACCTTAAGCCAGTATCCAGAGACCAGAATGGCTTTACGGATAGAACTGGATTAGCTTATTTTTTGGAGGTTACGATAATTCATTACTTTGAGAAAGGTATACTTAACTGTTGAGTCCCTTTATTTTGAGGAGTTCAGTCTCCCTGGAGAACACTGTTCCTTCCTCTTACCTACCCCCGTGTGCAGCACACTGAATGTCTATCTATCATAGCAATCTATTAATACAAAATGACACCAACCCATTCAGCTACTCCTCCCAACAACCGGATCAGGCAGACAGCATTTTTGTTTTGTTTTTTATTTTAGGCAGTGAGCATGCAAGCGAGCAGCAGAGAGTGGTGGGGGTTTGGGGGGGAGGGAGGAGGGAGGGAGGGAGAGGGAGAGGGAGGAGAGGGAGGGAGGGAGAGGGGGGGAGAGGGAGAGAGGGAGAGAGAGAGAGAGAGAGAGAGAGAGAGAGAGAGAGAGAATCCTAAGCAGGCTCCACACTCAGCACAGAGCCCAACATGGGGCTTGATCCCATGAGGAGCAACTGACTGAGCCACCCAAGCACTCCCAGGCAGAAAGTTTTATTGCCATTTCAAATCTAAGAATGTGAGAGTCAAAGGGACCTTGGAGAGCACAGATTCCAACTCCCACACTTCAAAGGAACCGAGACCAAGGCCCCCTAAGGCTATGAGCTTGTTCAAGGTCCCAGGGTCAACTGGAGACAGAATCCATGTCTTCTGACTAGGGCTCAAGATTCTTCACCATCATGTCTCCTCCAAAGATTAGGAAGTAGGAGGAGGAACACATGAACCACGGTGGAAGGGGAAGTAAAGTCAACTCAGATGTTGGTCTTGCTAAAGATTTTTTTAAAGAACAAAATATATAACTGTAACAGGAGTATAGTCAGATCCAGGAACATAAGAATATACACAAAAGGGGGAAAACCACCCAGACTTCCATTCCACAATCAGTATTGTATTCTAATACAACTGTTCTTATCTTCTTGGTATCTTATATTTAAGTCTCTTTCCAAGTACATACTTTTCCCACAATTTCAACCTTACCTCATAAGTGCTTTCATACTCTTGTACAGACTTTATAACCATGATTTTTAATGGCTGCACACTTGAGTTCTTGAACAATTAGGTTACTTTCATTCTTTTGGCTATTACTAATAAGACTGCAATAAAACATCTACAGCGTGCTGTCATTTTCCCTTTGCAGATTATTGCTTTAAGGTGGCTGTGGTATCTTTTATATTCACTTACTTGCTTCTCTAGGGAAGTCCTGCCAAGGGTCACTGGAGAAAGGGATGGGTCAAATTTGGGAAGCTCTCTAGCTCCTGGCTGAAGCACGTTCTGCTCCCATTCCTTCTTCGTCCCCTCAACAGACTCCCCTCGAGCCAAGTGCTCAAAGTACGTTTTCAGCAAAGGAACAGGGAGAAAGTTCATAATTTCATTCCCAAAAGAGGGACAGCAAAGGAGAATCTCATGAGAAGTGTAGTCAGTGGCTGTTGATCATTCCATCCCCCTGGATGAGCATCTTTGTTATTATCTTGAACGCAGATCAGGATTCTTTGGTTCTTTCCCTGGCTCTGCTGCTATCAGTCTCTGTGTCTTGGGTAATAATCCTTTTCTAGCTGCTGTCTGGTTTCCGATTCCATTAAACAAGGGGACTGGACCAGGTAATTAAGATCTCAACTACCTATATCACATAATTTTTTTAAAACTCTTTTTTCATTAACAAAAGGAACTTTAAGTCTTGTTAAAAATACAGAGAGTAGCTGTCTGCCACACGCCTGCAGGAAGACTGTTGTTTCAGAAATGAAGGTGTAAAGACACTGAACACACACTTAGCTGAGGCTCAAAGAAGACAATCTATTTACGGCACTGCTTCCTTTTGAAGGTTTTCTGGTTTGAGATGGGCGACAAAACCGTATTAGAAACCAATCCTCAGAAAGATGATTTCTTACTTTTCCTTCATTTGTCTAGTAGTTGGACTTCCCTGGGAATAGAGAGTAGCTGTGATACTCTACCGGCTAGATACATAAAACATCTTTTCTCTATCACTATAATATTTTCTTTACTATCACGCAGAGATACGTGAGCACAGAATTAAGAGCACTTAGTAGAGGCCAAACACAATGTGCCTGAGAATGCCGAAGCTGTACAGGTCAATCAGGAGAGGAGACAGGAGTCTGAAGCTGTAGTGAGTCAGTATCTAGATGTGGACTTGCCCAGTTTCTAGCGTGACAAGGCGGCTCAAACAGTACTCGGATGCCTCCAGGCCCAGAGGGTTAGGCCACAGTAAACAGTCCCAGCAAGGAGGCCACCAAAGGTGGCTAATAATGTCATCCAAGACAAAGAATAAATAAAACACTCTCAGGACTCAGGGTAAAGGGGGGAGCCCACATGAACCTCCAGAGGCTGGAAAGGCCATGAGGGTCAAACTGGCCCTTGAAGGGAAAGGGGTAGCTCTAATCCTACCCAGGTCCTTGACTGCTCAACACTGGCACTGACAGAGACAAGAACAGCTCTTTCTGTCAGTCTAATTTTAGAATGACTAATAAGAATGTTCATTCATCAGTGGCCTACGATCATTTTTTTAAAACCTCTACCTTCCACAGAATACTTCATCATGACCTTGCAAATATCAAGGAAAAAAAAAATCAAATATTTGAACCTTAAGAACCGGGAAGCGGCCCAGCCTGAACACGGAGGCCCTGCCCCAGCTACAGCCACGTCTCGGCCCTCTCACTGGCCCTAGCTGCGTGCCCTTTGGCTGTGAGCCCTGGCTGGTTCTGGCCCTTACCGTGGGCTCCTGGGCTGGGGGTGGTGGCTGCGGGGCTGCGGCCGGCTGTGCCTGGGGCTGCTGTATTGCTGCCACGGTGCTCTTCGGCTGCAAGGCAGCTTGCTGAGTCAGCAGCTGCTGCTGATGCAGGGTCGTGGCCAGCTGCTGCTGCTGCTGCTGCTGCTGCTGCTGGTAGAAGTTCTGTATCAGCTGCTGTTGAGAGCTTCCTTGGGACACCACAGGGAACTGGGCAATCGCTGGTTGCTGGGCTGCTGGGTGTACTGCCTGAAACTGAGCAGGAGGAGCAGCAAGAAAGGAGGAGGTGAAGAAAGCCTGTCTCTGAACAATATTCCACAGAACACAAATGTCTCAGTCACGACTGAGCCCAGTCTGAAGTCAAAGGCAAGGGTGGGCAGAAGTTTTTTAGCTTGGCCTGACAACTCACGAGGGGAACCTCGGGGCATCACAACGCACCCGGCAGCACCGGACACCGCCAGGCTGCGTCCACTGCACTGTGCTGCCTCGGGCACTGCACACAGGCTTCTGGGGGGTTTCTAAGGGCTTCCATTTGCCCGTGCATCTTGTGACTTGCCATGCTGGAGTGTAACAGAAGCTAATAAATCATCTCCCAACCACAGAGGTAATCCTGCTTATAAAGGGATTTGGGAGCAGCCATGATTAAAATGCTTCGGGAACAGGATGAAGCAGTGACGACACTGAAAAGAATGACCTAAATGCTAGCCCTACTAATAGAGTCCCTCCAGGCCCTTCTGAAAATTGTGTCCTGAGAGCTCCATCTTACTAACTCTTCCACCTTTAAACATTCAAAACATTCAATACGCTCTACCACACTTACTGATTATTTGATCTTATACTGATAACTAATTGTTTCAAGTTATATTCTCTGTGCCTCAGGATAAGGATACTTCTTATCCATCTCTCTACTCTGCACTGCCAAGGACTATGTGCCCCCCCACCCCCCCACACACAGAGGGGCACAGAGGCCAAACAAGGGCTTACTGGTTAACAAAAATCAAGATCTTGTCTTTGAACATCCTAAACACTGTGACTTAGTTGCAGAGTTAACTGAGAGGGCACTGTTTGCCTCCTGGGGCAAAGTTAAGGGTTAGCAAAGAAGCTGATGTCAATAAATAGCTACTTATTTATAACTGCAAAATGCTGGAAACAACCAAATGTTTATCAATGGGGACTGACTGAATAAATCATGCTATGTATCCTTAAAAAGGAATACTCTCAAGTTGTAAACAAGAATGAGAGTTACCTCTATAATATGGGATAGAGGGGACAGAACTCTACCAATTTAACTTAGAAATTCTGTTAATGTTTTATATTCTAATGAAACAAAATTAATCCAAAATTCACCAATAACTATAAATCAAAAGCAAAATGAAACAGATAAACCTGTGTAGCAAATTTATATAGCCAGACTCTGCAGAAAATAATGAGCTAAACATTCTAAAAATGAAAAAGGCAAAGAAATCTTAATACCATGACTCACAGTGTATATTTTATTAACAAAACAAAACAAACAAAATACATTTCCCAAGTATCCACTAAAAAGGCTTAAAAACAATAACCAACCCATTAGCAAATGAGTATCTTTAGCACCAAGACTGTGGTCTCTAAATACGATTTCCATTAAAAGGAAATGGAGCTCCTGGCAGAAAAATCCAGTTCAAGGTCAAGGGCAGAGTGAACCTGGAAGGACTTGTTACACCAAATAACAAGGAAACCATTAAAGACGATTGGGTCTGAAGAGACTTCCACTGGCCAAAGCTGGGGCAATTCAAGCATCAAAATCAAATTTAACAACCAGCAATGTATGGAAATGTATCAAGTATGTTAAAATCCCTGCGCTCATGATGATGCTAAAACAGAACAAACAGAAACCTCTTTGTTCACCATCAGATGACGCTAGGAACAAACTCATTCTGAAAACTGGTAAACACAGTGGAAAAGAATCAAGCATTTTTTCCACCTTTTCTGAATAAACAGTACCACAGGCTCATCAAGTGTTGAGAAAAATTGTTCACAGAAAAATTCCAGCCCCTCAGTGAGGAAGGAGAATGCTAGCATACCACCATGTTGCTGTCCCTAATGAGTTAATGGGCTTAGGAAATGATCAGCAGTGGCAGCTAAACTGATCAGGGGCATTAAATGAATGGATCAGGCAGACACCAAACTCACTGACTGATCTTAATATTAATAAAGAGAAGACAACCAGACTTTATATGTCTCCTGATAGGATACAACCAGAAGAACAAAGAATGAGCCAAATATTGAGCAAGCCTCAAAAAACTACCAGTTTACACAGGGGATGGAGGAACATATTAAGTGACCATACAGATGCATCAGCCAAATCCAGAAAATGGAAAATACTACAGGACAAATGACCCAGTTTCTTTAAAAAATTAAATGGCAGAGGGGGAAAAAAAAGAGGGAGAGGGCACCTGGGAATAAAAAGGACTTAAAAGATATGTCAATCATTATAAAATGAATAAGTTCATAGAAAAAAAATGTAGAAAAGATATATGAGAAGATGATAGAAAAAAAGATATATCACAACTAAAGATACTACGTGGACCTTGTTTGGATCCTGAGTCTAACAAGCCAACTTAAATCATGAGACATCAGGAAGAGTTCAATGTCACTGGACATTTTATAATAAGAAATCATTTTAGTATGGTAATGGTGCAGTTATGTTAGAAAAGAAGAGAAAAGTCCTTTAAAAAATATCTCCCTTGCAGGGCACCTGGGTGGCTCAGTCAGTTAAGTGTCAGACTTCGGCTCAGCTCATGGTCTCCAGGTTTGTAAGTGCGAGCCCCACGTCAGGCTCTGTGCTGACAGTGCAGAGCCTGCTTTGGATCCTCTGTCTCCCTCTCTCTCACTGCCCCCTCCTTGCTCATGCTCTTTTGTTCTCTCTCTCTCTCTCTCTCAGAAACTATCTCCCTTGCTGCGGTTCCTCCATCCAGGTGAAGAGAAAGAGGTGTGTGTGTCCCAGTGATGGCTCTACTCCTCAGGGTTTTCTAGTATTTGCCTCTGGGAGAAGTAATTCTGTCATGTCTAGTGGCTCTCTGTCTTCCGGGGGCTTCTCAAGGAAGATGCCTGTTACCTACTGGGCCTTTTCGCAGTGCTGCCTCAGATATGGCAAGCAAAAGTGAGACTGTGAACAGCTTACCTGCTGAGCCTGCTGGGCCTGCTGCTGCTGCTGGTAAAACGTGCCCGCAGGCTGCTGGGAAGGTGGCGGCTGCTGCTGCTGCTGTGGCTGCGGCTGCTGCTGCTGCTGCTTGAGGAAGAGTTGCTGCTGGTGCTGGGGGGTGGCCTGGGCTGGAGTGGGCAGAGCCTGGGCAGGAGTGGCAGGCGTCTGCTGTGGGGTGGGTGGAGCCTGTGGCTGCTTGGGCTGAGACTGCGGTAGAGGCTGGCTGGGTTGGGGCTGGGTTTTGGGCTGGGGAACACTGGCTAAAAGGCCAGGCTGATTGCTGGATCCTGTAATGAGAATAAACCCCGTATCAAGGCCCAAAACTCTTCCAGATGAAAACAGCCTGCTTTCTCTCTTGTCAGAGCAATAAAGAGGGGGGTGATAAGTGGACCGACAGCCCCAAGATCCATGTGCTCCTGTCTTTACGCTTCTTGTTAAACTATGTGCTTCATATTTTTCAGAACAAGGTTCAGTAAGATGCTACTGTACACAAACGTGATCTTTGCACTTACTGTCATGCATTCTTTGGTGTTTTACATATAAGTTATGCAACCCCAGTCTAGATGCCTGGCTATAAGTAGATAACTACCAAATTCATCAAAAGCAGCTTCCTAATAGGGAAGTGATGACTAAGTTCAGTTACTTGATAATTTGGATCCTCTACACTAAGTTATCTTATTAGAACCAGAATACCAAAACATGGAGTGGTAACAGACACTTTAAGAGACAGAGCATTAAAGAAACAATTCCTTTGTGTCAACAAGAGGAGAGAGCCTTGTTTCTTTAAAAGCAAAGAGAAAAATATGAAATAAAAAGGAAGGCATGGGATGAATGGGCCAAGCCACAAAATCAGGACCAAGACTAGAAAAAAGGGGTTATCAGGCTTCAGTGGTCTTGGAGGTCCCCCACAAAATTCAGTGAGATGACTACCCTTTTGACAGCCACTTGCCATACAATTTCAATGGGAGTTCACCTCCTGTTCCTCAAGCCAAACCATTATTTCTTATGTGCCTCTGAATTCTATTCCTGAAGTAAAAGTAGACTTTCCAAGACTTGTGTAACGTCCAGGGTAACAAAGAGGTAAACCAAATTTCAAACCAACCTAGTTACTGACCTGTGGCCTGGGGTGGGGGCTGAACTGTGGCCCTCTTTCGAGGTGTCAGAGCTGGCTGGATAGGAAGGATTCCTGGGTTTGGCTGAGTCTGCCCAGCCTTAGGCCTCTGACGGGGTGCAATTGAAGTCTCTGTTGTGGGAATGGGATCTGTCAGTCTAGGAAAGGAAGAGGGGAAAACAGATTCACATTAAAGTGTGGAAAGTGAGGGAGGGGTAGGCAGAGTACTTGATAGATTGGCTTTCCCTTCCACACCCATCCAAACCTTCCAGATCTGCTTAATCGACATCTGCCAAAGGGTGTTCCACAGGACGTTATGTGTTATAAGATGTTATGAAAAAAGGCTTGGTGGGAAATAAGTTTTAACACACTGTTCAAAATACACCAAGCAAATTTCTTTCCAGCAGGACTTTTCACGTGTGCATGTGCATGGAGAACTCTGAAGACAGCAACTATATAGAATGCAATGTTTCTCTAGCTAATCCAACCTTGGGACCCTTCCACCTAATACCTCCTAGGATTTCCCAGAATATACTTTGGGTGATGATGGAAAGGGGTTTGAGGCAGGTTGTTCTCAAAGGGAACTCAAACCTGGCTAGAAATAGTTGTCAAAATAGTCTCTCTATAATAAAAAGCATGTAAATGAGTGAATCCAATAAGGCAACTAAAAGGAACAAGTAAATGATTTAAGATAAAGGATTTGGAGAATATGACACGTACCTATTTCCTCCAATACACATGTTCCCCTTTTTCCCAGGATAATAAAATTTTTAGCTGTTGTACACCTTAAATTTATACAATGTTATATGTCAAATATATTTCAATTAAAAACTTTTTTAGCTGGGCACTGGACCACCCAGAGTAAAAATCACATTGGCCAGCATCTCTTATAATCAGGTGTGGCCAGTGTGTCTAAGTTTTGGTCTTACATAAGAAAGCAGATTGTTATATGGTAATTTCTAGAAACCTCAAGAAATAACTAGTGTATGCCATCTGTCTCCCTTCTTCTTTGGCTATTCCTTCATCCTGTTGCTTGGAATAGGGATGCTACCATCTTGGTCCATGAGGTCATGGGCACCTCCAGACTTTGTTCACTTTAAAGAAAAGATAAATATCTATCTTATACGAGCCACTATCATTTTGGACTTTGTTTAACTCACAGCCAAATCTAATCCAAACTAATATGAGGAGGACTGCTGTATGGTCTACCTGCTCCTTGTGATGGTGCTAAAGTTTAGACGGTAACTTCCATTCACTTAGAGCAGTCCAGGCAGCTGGCTACTACCTAACTCAGATCACAGTAGTTGTCTTTTTTTTTTTTTAAACATACTTTAAATTAAAAGCACTTTAATTTTATTTTATCTTTTTAATTTTTTTTAATGTTTATTTATTTTTGAGAGAGAGAGCGTGAACAGGGGAGGGGCAGAGAGAGGGAGACACAGAATCCAAAGCAGGCTCCAGGCTCTGAGCTGTCAGTACAGAGCCTGATGTGGGGCTCGAACCCATGAACTGCCAGATCAGACCTGAGGCGAAGTTGGATGCTTAACTGACTGAGCCACCCAGGTGCAAATTTTTATTTGAGAGAGAGAGCACGAGCAGGGAAGAGGGGCAGAGAGAGAGAGAGAGAGAAAGAGAGAGAAGAGAGAGAGAATCTCAAGCAGGCTCCACGCTCAGGACAGAGCCCAAAGCAGGGCTCAATCCCACAACCCTGGGATCATTACCTGAGCCAAAATCAAGTCTCAGGATGTTCAATCAACTAAGCCACCCAGGTACACCAGAGTACTTATCTTTTCAAAAAGCACTTTAGAGTATAACTAAAGTTAAGGCCAAAATAAACAAGCTTCATGAATATTTTCAAAATATGTCTGGCACAGCCTCCATGAAATGCAAAGTAGGAAGTAAAGCAGCTGGCCCCATGTCCATCCCTAAGACATATTTCCATTGTGGACCCTGAGGCTTTCCTTGGAAATCCTACAGAAGGATGTTCTTGTGTGGGGTAGAGAACTGAAAATTTAAAAGCTATCTTATTTAGGGAGGTTGTAGCCTGGGGAAGGTAGGTAGGAAGGAAAACGGGACAGATGTTGGAGAAGAGGAAAAAGGTGTAAGAAAAATGCAGCTAAGGGTGAGAAAGTCAAACAGATTTCTATAGAAACCAAATGCCAAGAACCTCCACACTGGATGGATTTCTCTTAAGGCTAACATCCTAGAAATAAAGGGATTTGGAGTCAAACAAAACTATATTTGAGGTCAGCTCCTCACCAATTGTGCAATAAGAGGTATGTCATTTACCTCTTTGTGCCTTGGGTCCCTTATGTGTAAAATGGTGAAAATAATACATCATGAGGCAGATGTGAATATCAAATGCATCAATGACTGTGAAACTGTTCTTGTCAACCGTGGAGTGCTCAAAATGTTAGCCTGCATGAACTTCAATATGCTGTGAAAAAACACAGACCCTGAGGCTTGGAGCTCTGGCTCCACATTGTCCCATCTATGTGCGTGTGGATGAATCACTTAGTGTACAGAGCAGAGTATGGATGCTGAGGTTCTGGGTTTCTTCCTAACCGCATATTGATTAACTGCCTTGGGCAACTTATAATTCTGAGTCTGTTTCCTCATCTGTGAAGTGAGAACAAGAACAATGACTCATAGATTCATTTCAAGGAAAATAAAGGTGTCTTACTTATATAAAGAACTTAGTATGGTCTGGGACACATGATGCCTCAGTGAAGAGCGGTTACTTCAAAACTAGAGTTAGAAAGAAAAACTCACCTCTCAGGACTGGGAAGTAAATATGAGAACACAAATGAAATCATTATAAATTATAGACAGCCCAAATCTCTTGGCTGTAAGGTCTGTGTATTCTCACAGCATTACTGAATCCATACAAATTAACAGCCTGGGCACTCTACAGTTTATAGAGCAGTTTTATGGGGTGGATGCTCACATCTGCCTTATGATGCAGGTATTATTTTCTCCATTTTACACTCAGAGCACCACTCAAATGGTAGGATACTGTCACCGTTATAAATGTGTAGGCTTTGCGGGAATGGATCCTTGCTTAGCCTCAGTGCCCACCATACTGGGGCCTGGTGCAATATGTCCATAAACCCAAATGCTCAGCTAATGAAATCAGCCCCAAAAGCAATTTCCAGAGGCAAGCATGGCAGACTTAGGTAAGAAACAGACTACAAAGTAACAGCATGGATATAGTTTGCTATGTTTGTTAAAAAGAATTATTTTAGAGCCACATCAGAATTTATATTTATTCTGTAAATATTTAAGAATGTTTTAAAATGTAGAAATTATTTTACTGTTCTATGAAAATTCACATATTCCCATCTAAGGTATGTCATTGATAGTTTGTTGGTAATGTTTCCTTGGCACAGGGACATGATAGAATAAAGAGGTATAAAACATCTCCTTGACCAACCTCAGAATTTGCTGTCTGGGAGCATAGCAAGCCATTAGGATGTGCCCTGTAGACCTTCAACATGTAACGGTGCAAAGGGCACGTGCCCCAGCTGCTGTGCTCCCAAAATCCACTGCCATGTTCTCTCCGAGGCCATGCTTCCCGCAGGCTGCTGTCAGCCTTAACATCCCAGTCACAGGGATATTAAAGTAGGCCTGTTCCTGGGACACAGGGGCTCCGCCGGTAGACTTTGGCTTGAGGACTCCTAGACACCTTTGGTGAACCTTCCTTAAATTATGTGGCTGTTTCTAGGTCACTTCCACCCAATCTTCCTTCCTTTCTCTGGTTTAGATTTCCATTGTCTTTTGATGGGTCTCCCAGCCCTCTCTGGCTCTGTCTCTAATTTCTCTCACAGCCAAATAAAATCCAAGTTTGTCCAATCCTCTCTTGGTATCTGTTTCTTTTCTTTCTTCTTTTTTTTTTTTTAATATTTCATTTATTTTTGAGAGACAGAGATAGAGACAGCATGAGCAGGGGAGGGTCAGAGAGAGAGGGAGACACAGAATCTGAAGACAAGCTCCAGGCTCTGAGCTAGCTGTTAGCACAGAGCCTGATGCGGGGCTCGAACCCACAAACCATGAGATCATGACCTGAGCTGAAGTCGGACACGTTTCCAACTGAGCCACCCAGGCGCCCCATTTGGTATCTGTTTCTTCAAAGACCCCACACTCCATGGTATGTGATTAGCTAAGATCCACAAGCTCTTCTGCTGTTCATGCAGTCAGTGCCTTGACCTTCACTCTCCTGATGTGGCCAGAGCCACAGGAAGTAAGAACCAAGGGGAGATGTAGGACTAGGTGGGTGGACCAGGCTACACGAAGGCCAGGACGCACGTCTAGGACCCTCTGGTACTAGCAGTATTTAAAGTCTGCTGTTGCCTCATCTCTGAATGCCCCTGTGCCTCTTCATACGCAAAAGAAACAGCTGCAGAGTTCTTGATTCTCTTTCAAATGTGTTTCACTATGTTCCTCCTTGCACTCCCACAGAACAGTTTCTGCCTAGAAGAGAGCTTGCCCTCTAGCTCTGCGTGGTGGCGGCGTAATGATCATGAGGCACCCTCTCCTGCCACTATGGCAGCTGGCACAGGACATGCGCACACTCAGGCAGGCACTTCTTACCTGGCCTTTGGCTGGGTCTTTTTTGCAGCTGCTTCACTGGCTTTCACTGGTTCAGGAAGCTTTGCAGGAATGGGAGAGTTCTAGAGAATTGAAAGGAAACCAAAAAAGGACATTACAGATTTCTTTGTGAAAGGATAACCAGCATGACTGGGCCAATGGAAATACATGTTGGGGTCTCCCAGAGGGACCTCCAGACCCTGATGTCTACTAGAAGTAAGGGAAGTCAACCAAAGGTAGATCCCACCAGACTCAGCCCCACTCAGGGAGGCAGCATATCAGAGAAGAGGACAGAGTAGCCTGTGTGCAGGGCACTCCATCCCTGCCTCCTCCCAACCTTCCAGACCCTTCACTTCCTATAGCACAGCTTAGAGGTGTGTTAAGAAAGGAATGGGAAAGAGATGTCTGTAACCTGTATGACCATTCAAGCTATCCATCCGCTAGACCTTGGAGAAGTTAGCAATAAGCATCAGCACACCTAGCAGGGGTGCATTCCGTCTTCTAGCATTCAAGCTGGGAGAAAACCACAGCTACGACCTGTCTGGTTGCTAAGCCAGTGCCTCCCACAGCGCGTGAGGCACCCCTCAATCCACAAGGCCAGCAGAACTCCTCCCACCTGGATTCTGTGCTGGCCACCTAACACTGGCTCCTGAGGGAGTCCTACTGTACCCGACCACAGGACATTTGCTTAGCACTGCTGAGTGAGAACCAAATGGCTTGAGACCTGTGAAGCTGACTTGTTTTTTTTTTTTTTCAAATGTTTATTTATTTGAGAGAAAGAGAGAGACAGAGTGTGAGCAGGGGAGGGGTAAAGTCCATATTTAGGCTTTTAAGAGGGGCGTCCCATTTCCTTCATGTTTCCAGGTGGGGAGAATTTCTGCTAGCCTATCTCTCCTTGCTTCTCTTCCATTCCCCAAACATCCCTCTCCCAAGGGAGAAGCGTAACTTATTTGACTGATAGGACTGGGGGGGAAACTTGAGCTTGCCTGGTTCACCCGTGTCCTCCCTCCATTAGGGGAGAGCCTTCTCTCTGGAATGAGGCACTCCCGGCTCAGTCATGTGGATCTAATGTTAGGGAGCCTGACTGGTCAAGCTATGTTCTCTGACTCAATCTTATCAGTAATAAAGCCAATATTCTGAGTTCCATCTGGATGATTCCCACATCTGATTCCAAATGTGGGAGTGAAAGAGGAGTGTTATTTATTAGCACCCTCAAGCCCCAACAGTGACATCAAAATTTCATTATTGGGAAAATTGAGAAGACAATTTCAGATTAGAACTTATTTATTATGGCATCCATTAGTAAAATGGTCAAGGGAGCTGGATCACACCATGACATGAAAAATATGCTAAGACCATAAAAAGGGTGTTTGCAAGCACTGTACTCTGAAAGCTGCTGTGAGCAGAGTTTAGGATTACTAAGTGTAGAATACATTCCTATGGCCTGATGTGTGTGTGGAGGGTGGCGGAAAAAGAGTGTGAGTTATAGGTGGCAGGCAGCAAAAGCAGAATCAAGAATGTTCTGCTGCAATAAAGAAGAAAAGGGACAAGGGGGCTTATGTTCTTATAGGTAGTACTGCCTCAGGAAAGCAGCCTGCCTTACCACTCACTGCTAGGTAAATACAATAGGCACTTGGATCTTAGTAAACTGTGGAAGTTGACAAGACAATGAGTTGGGTAATCTTCATCCAAAGTGCTCAACTGAATCCCTAGGGAACTTTTTGTTTGGTATAATTGTCTTAGTTTAATAATTAAATTCTATAGGAAAACTAGTTTCTCTTTATAGTAATTGCTTCTTACTTAGCTTTGCTTGAACACCCTCTATCAGATAAAACAAGGGATATCTATAGTCATTTAACAGCTGGTTAACACCTCAGGAATTTTAAATGACAATTTGATCATGTTTACTTTCCCTTAAAAGCATCTTTCACATACCTGTACATTAGGAATTGGGCATTCTTTCTTGAGTAGTTTGAATGAGAAGTAAGACACCTGGTAAATATCCGGCCTTTTGTCAGGGTCTGGTTCCAACATATACCCTAAGAAAAACATATGTGAATTTACTTAATAATAGTCTAATATTTATTACATTAGCTAGGAAGCATAATTTCTGTTACTAAATGTTATTTTCATTTTTATTTCTCATAAAAGTCAGACGGTATAATTAGCTCTTTTCCTCCCTTCTCAGAAATGGAAGCTATAACTTCCTAACATTTGTAATATCCACAAAAAAGTAACAAAGTTTCTGAATGATAACAAAGATACTTGAAGTTCACATTCTGTGACTTGTACAACAAGGACTCAGGGAAGCTCTCAATATGAAAGTTACCACCTTCATATTCTGATACCTAGAAAGTTACTGGGTCTTGCTTCTGGCTTCCTAAGTTCATAATATCTTGCTAAACAAATGATTATCCTTGATAATTATAATCAAAACTCATTTTTTTCACTTTGTTTTCTTCCTCTTCTTCTTCTTCTTCTTTTTTTTTTTTTAGTAATCTCTACTCCCAATGGGGGACGAGAACTCACAATCCTGAGATCAAGAGTCTCATGTTCCACCGAATGAGCCAGTCAGGTGCCCCTCAAAACTCAAAATTTAAGAACCAATTTCTATTCCTTTGTTGGGGATATAAGCTGGTTTCTATTCTAAAAGAAATTACAAAATAATAAATACATCTCTAATTTTATATGATCTACAGAACACTTGTTTATTTCCATGTCCTTTAAGCTGCTGCCCTTTCTGAAGCTGGAAAAATCCCCAGGAAAAAAATCTATGTGAAGACACACATAAAGACACATGCATACACACCAACAACAATGCAAGGCAATTTACTGTTTAAGGAACCAAATGAATGGTTTGAACACTAAGTGCAGGCAAAACTGATGAGGCTGCAGTCTTGTGGAAGACTTGCAGAAGAAGCAGGGTTTGGGCTGGGCCTTGAAGGCAGGAAAGAGTTTAGTCAGTCAGGGGAAAGAAAGGAAAAATATTCTTGATGAGAGAACAGTCTGGACAAAAATGGGCTTGGAGAAAGGCAAAAGAGTGGCCTGTTATGAGGAAATACAGGTGCCAGAAGGACAGAACAGAGATTTCCTTAACACAGGGAAATAAGGCTGGGTGGCTGAGTGGGTGGAACCAGAGTATGAAGGGTCTAAAATGCCAACCTGAGAAGCTGGGCCCTACTGTGGGACCACTGGCAAACGATGACGTTTATTAACAGGGACGTGACAGGGTGGCATTCAGTAAGACTGATCTCATGGTGAAGCAGTGCTCGGCTGACTGAGGGAGGAAAGAGACTGCTGGCCAGGCCACCAGAACAGGCATGAGCTGGCAAAGTCTCTATATACTGTGGCGACAGTGATGAGAACAGAGTATGGGATGGAACCAGGAGAAACTCCAGAGAAAGAATGCTGCTTAGAAAATGGCTGACTCGGGGCGCCTGGGTGGCTTAGTCGGTTAAGCGTCCGACTTTCGCTTAGGTCATGATCTCGCGGTTCGTGGGTTCGAGCCCCGCGTCGGGCTCTGTGCTGACTGCCAGCTCAGAGCCTGGAGCCTGTTTCAGAGTCTGTGACTCCTTCTCTCTCTAACCCTCTCCTGCTCACGCTGTCTCTCTCTCTCTCTCCTAGAAATAAATAAAACATTAAAAAAAAAAAAAAAAAAAAAGAAAATGGCTGACTCTTCACCTTGTCTTATGAGCCAGATCCAAACCCTAAACTTCAGTTATCCAGGCTTGAATGGTGACACCACTGATAGAAACTGAAAAGAGAGGGGAACTGTGTATTGGGAGTAAATGGGCAATCACAATAAATTTCAGAACTGTGACTTTAGGGGGACCATGGAATCTTCAAATAGTTTGTAAACTGAAATAGGTTTGGGAACAATGTCAGTGTTACAGACATTCATAAAGACTTGCTTTTCCCAATATGAACTTGCAGTACAACTGTGAAAAAGAATATGTATTACAAAAATATCCTACCATTCTAGCATCAAATTTGGCCATTTTCTTACCTATATCCTTTAACCTTCTCTTACGAAGCTGCAATTCTAGAACAGTAGTCCCTCCTTATCCATAGGGGACACGTACCAAGACCTCCAGTGAATGCCTGAAGTTGCGGAGAGTACTGAATCCTATATATACTGTTTTGTCTTCTACACACATACCTATGATAAGCTCATTTTATAAGTTAGGTACAGCCAGAGATTAACAACAATAATAAAATAGAGCAATTATAACAATATGCTGCAATAAAAGTTATGTGGATGTGGTCTCGCTCAAAACATCTCATGATACCGTACACACCCTTCTTGTGATAATGTGAGAGCACAACATGCCCACGTGATGAGATGACATGAGGTGAATGACGCAGGCACAGTGACGTGTTGTTAGGCTACCAGTGACCTTTCTGACTACACGTCAGAAGAAGGTTCATCCGCTTCCCACTGTGGTCAATTGTGGGTAACTACAACTGTGGAAAGCCAAACCACAGATAAGGAGGGACTACTCGAATGCTTTACCTCTGAAAACAATTCAACAACTACTAAATGCCACAGTCCATTTCTTTAAATGCCCTCCCCCTCCCTTTTTTGGTTAAACAGAAGAAGTTGACTGATAAAATTGGCACAGTGGAATAGGTAGTCAACTAAAAGCTGTAACTATGTTACCTTGGGTAAGTTACCTGTACTGTCTGAGCCTCGGTTTCCTCATTTGTGTAACGGGGATAACTGTACTTACTACATAAGATTTTAAGAATTAAATAAGGTACAAGTAGGCCCTTAACAAATATCAGATGCTCCACCCCACATGTGCTTCTGTTTTCTTCAGTATGGCCCCACCCAGGACCCAAACTGGATCACTCAAGATTTATAACCCATAATGGTTAAAACTTAGATGCTGAATCCTTTGACCAATGCAAAAAGATGACAAAATATCTCTGTTTCACATTTGAGCACAAGGGCTTCTGCAAAGACTGCTTATTCTGTCATCTGGTTAATGAATTAGTACATATGCTTGCTGTGACAATGCAAAAGAGTGGGGAATCTTAAAAAACATTTTAAACAAAGCAGTGAGCTTAAATGCTTGTTATCAAAATCCAGGGATTAACCTAAAGAGAGGAAAAAAACCTAGTTCCACAGAGTTATACAGTCTTAATTATGTATTCACTCCAGCCAACGCACAGCAATCATTTCAATTTGAGTTGCTTCCAGTTTTGCAGAGATGAATTTCTTATCACTTGATAGGAGTCAGCTGGACTCTTTCATACTGACTGCAAGAGAACAGAGCCGTACTGTACTGCTCAAAGCACCACTAGGATTTCTGCTCAAGCCTAAGAGATTTTAGATTTCTAGCAAAAAAACCTATCCCTCTAACTAGACACTGTGGTATGATCTTTGAGTGGCCAACTATTATCGACTGATTTATCTTTGCATCCAACCCATCATTCCTGGGATCTAATCCCGTTGTCCTCCAGTTCATTCCCAGAGACTGGAGATAAAAATATGAAGCCAGAAACTCGAGATACTTACTAATTAGGCAGTGCATGTCTTGGGAATATCGAGAGTTATCAGGAATTGTGAAGTTTCCATCACAAATTGCCACCTGACTCTCTCCAAATGGCAAAGTGAAGTAGCATAATTTATACAACAAACATCCCAGAGCCTAAAAAAAAATAAATAAATAAAGCAGATTGCTACGAGTCGTTTATGTGCCATAACTGCAGATGGGTCTACTGAGACATACTGGCATCATCCACATTTACTAGCAGATACAAAACCTCAGTACTTTTAACCTATTAGAAACTTGAACTTGGAACTCAGCACCACTAGTTAGCTGCTGAGTTCCAATATTTCTACCAGCATTACCAAGTTGTGCTCCAACAAAGAACAAGTATTTCAGTTATTTTGCTCTTAGGAACTAGTAACACATATATGAAAACCACCTAAATAGTGGGCAGGTCACCTGAATAATTTTCACAGAGCTCTAAAATAATTTCCTTTGACACGCTTCACAGAGCAGTGGCTGGTCACCCCAAGAATAACTCTGAGAGATAAGGAGACAGTGATACGGTCCAGTGGCCACTCCTGCTATGGCACTGTCTGGAGTAGACTTGGGAATTTACAGTCAAGACTGTTGGTATCTGAGATGTGGATAGGTTAGTTGACACCTACCCAAATGTCTGCCTTCGTAGTGATGATTTTGCCACTGTACAGGTTGACCATTTCTGGTGCTCGATAGGACAGCGTTGTGTATCTACAATCAAGAGATTTGTTTTTTGTTAAATATGTCAATGCTATCATTAAAAACCAGGGGTAGCAGAAATACTTTTTAAATACATTTATATTAATAAAGTCTAGTTCCCTGGGAGTGATCTGCAGAAGAGAGTATGAAATATTAGTGCAGATAAAATGAAAAGCTGTCCTTGGTACACATCCGTGGACCTTTAGAATCAGTCCTTCTATCTGAGAGCGTGTGGAGACCCAGACACTAAGGCACTTAAATAAACTCTAAAAGCAACTTCTCGTATCCGCAAATGAAAAACTCTTCTCCTGCAAATCCTTATTGTTTGATACTATGTCTTGCTGGTTTGTTTTTAAAAATAGCAATTCCCTTAAGCGTGGCTCAACGCAGATGTGTAATACCAGCTGAGACACTGCAGAATAGCAGAAAGAAGACCCTGGCTGCGGTGGGAGGCGGACGAATCTCTGCTGCTGCAAGAGGAATGAAGCAACAGTTTTCCTCTTATCTCTGGCTCAAGGAAAGAGTAGTATAAGCTCCGCTTCAAAGTGAGTGTCTTGGTGTGGTCAAGCATGGGTCTTACACTGCTTGAGTCTCTAAAGTCCAGAGGACACCATGCTTTAGGTGTCCACCAGTGCCTTGGACCAGAAGTCTTCCTGCCCTAGGCTTGGCTGCCAAGAGTGGGGCAGGAAAGGAGACTAAGGATCAGGATATAGGTGTGCATACTAGACTGCTGGCTTATTAGTAGTTATTAGAGTTATTAATGAGTATTGTGGCCTGTGAAAAATCTAACACTCCTGACAATAGGGGTAAATGGGTCAGGTTCTTAACTGGAGCCAGAAATCTAAAGAAGCTTTTTCTCATGGAAGTTAGTGATTCAGTATCTGTAGAGACTTCACATTCCTACTTACCATTAATTCTACCAGATTGGTGAGCTCCTTAGGAGCAAGAAGGCATACACAGCAATGCAGGGTTTGGTGAAAAGCAGTTCCAACTGACTGATAATGTCTCAGTTGTTGGGATTCACTTAAAAACATCACAGTACCTTTATGATTTGTGTACCATTCTGCTTTTTAACAGCTGGGTGACATAAGTCAAAATATCTATGTATATAGTCACCACTGGTCCACTGATAAAGTGCTGTACGATTCCTTCATTTAACTCTATTGATCAATGCTTGGAAACCCCTTCCACATCCTCCTCTTAAAATCAAACAAGCCGATTGCCAACATGATGCTCTGAGACAAGGGGCACCATGACTAGCACCATGGTCTTCCCACCCTGACCTTCTCATCCAGAAGCTGAAAGTCATGTTGCTGATCTGGTAATGGATGAAACTCCAAGAAAAGAGGAAAGGCTTACTTCTTAATCTCATCTTCTACTGCATTGACTCCCTCAGTTTGCGGATTCTGAAATTTGTTGGTGGCGCTTCCAAAGTCGCACAGGACATAGTGGCCTCGGTCATGCAAGAGGATATTTTCAACCTGAAAAACATTTCCCAGCCACTCAATCCAAGATATTATTTAGTAATGCATACGAAAATTTGGTTCTAGTCACATAAATAAAATATTCTATTTCTGACAATCCCATTAATAAGCACAGGAAAGTTCTTCACCTCCAAGTATTTTGCCAGGGGTCATCCCAAGTGAACAAAAAGAAAAGCACAGTAACAGGGTAAAATGAGAGTAGAGGGGGCAAAGAGAGGAAATTCCACAATGGGGAAACAAGAGTCCCATTCACCTAGATTTCCAGGCACACTCTCACCTCAGCAGAAACAGTCCTAATACTTTCAAGTCTCTGCATTTTTTTTCTCATGCTCTTCTCTCAATCTAGAATGCTCTCTATGACCCTCAGCCCTTACTCAACACTCAATATCCATTCATCCTCCAAATTCCAGTTCAGATGCCACCTCTTCTTTGAGGCCTTCCTCAAGTACTCACTCAAATGTCATTCTTTCCCCTCAGTCCTTCAGTCCTTCATTCTTCCTGACGTCTGTGATTTCACTTGAGCCTTATGCATGCATATACCAATTTCTTTACTACAAGACGTTAGGATTTCCAGAATTAATAAGCATTGCTGTATTTTAATTACTTCTCAAAGCGATTAAAGGCCTGTGGGCAAATGTCCAGTTTTCCTGTTGAAGTATTAACTTGCCTTTTTATAGATGAATTCTTTGGACAGTGAGTTAACAGTTCCAGGTAGAAGGGAACTTACAAAGATCAGAATCTACAGAAATCTCTGGTATCAAAGGAGTATGTCAGTGCAAGAATAACTCCAAAAGAGTGGGCACTTCTGTACTCAGGATGTATGGAGTCATTTTTGGCCTAGGTGAACTGAGTTGACTGGTATGTTGGAGGACAGACCTGGCTATGTGTGGGCAGTAAAATGGCAGCCACAAAATCTTGTTAGGCCAGTAAGTCTGTAGTCTCCATTGTCTTTTGTCTTCAGCCTTCCAAAGACTGATCACCTTTGGAAAACAAAGGCCAGAGTCCACTATACGCTTCCTAAAGACAAGCACCATCTCTTCAACGTATTTGTAGCCTTTTCTACCAGTGCCTAACATAGTACTTGGTACAGAAAATGTTGGTTGAGTGGAATAAGTTAAAAAACAGGAATGCATTTAATACTGTGCTTGTGTGTGTGTGTCTGTCAGAAGCAAGATAGGACCCATCAAATACGCAGACCCTACTACTGCTATTGGTTCTTTAAAAAAAAAAAGAAAGAACGAAAGAAAAAAATCTGCTCAGTTGTGATGGTCTCTTTTTCCAATACTTGTTTCTACCTACACTTGCTTTAATTCTTCTAAAAATTACATTATGTATTTTTAAAATGTTTATGGTCTGTACCTGCTAAATCTAATACCTAAAGTCTTTGCGGCAAACTGATTCTTGTATTTATTGTCTTTTACTCCTACTGAGTCTCACTAGAGGTATTGTTATGAGGGCTTTTGTTGCTGCTGTTGTTAACTCATGTTCCTCAGAATTCATCTGTGGGAAGCCTATGAGGCCTGAGTTTAAAGTCTGTTGTTCTTCCAGAAAGGATATGCTTTTGCACCTGGGGCACTACTAACCTACAATCACTTTAACCTAGAATTCTGACCTTGGATTTCTAGTCACATAAGGCAGTGTGAACTATGGCTATCACCTCTCGTGAATAGGCTCTTGTTCTCCAGAGACAAGGCTAAGGCAAGCAAATGTGTCTACCGCCTACAGCTTTTCAAAAGCTCCCCAGTTTAACCTATTTACACAAAGTGAAACAGTCAAGCTATCCTGAACATATAACGCGCTTTCGGAATTGAAAATAATTTCGATAAAGCAATACTAATATTTCAAATCTACCTTAGAGGTTATAAACAGAACAGCTACCAATTTCTGAGCTTTTACTATTGTGAGTACTATTTTACTCAGTTACATGATTTATCCTCATAATAATATAATAATACCCCTGTTTTACAGATGTGGAGAGTGAGGCTCACAGTGATGAAGCTGGGAAGTAAACCAGAAAATTTACCTCTAGAGAAAGACAGGTAATTACCTTTCTGCCAGGGTAGGAAGCAAATGAACCACTCAAGGTCCCCACCCATAGTATCCTCCAACTATGGTGGGTGTGGTGACTACACTTGCCCAGTGTACTGGATACAAGCTTAAGGACAGGGCTGCCTTGGTCCTTTGTGTTCACAAATGTCCCATAATAAGAATCTAGTCAATAAGGAACCAGGTGTCTAATCACTAGCTATGCTGCTTTGCTCAATGTCTCGTAATCATTCCCTGTATCGCCTGGTTTATCCTTTTACTCAATTGCTCATTCTCCACTTGTCAAATTGTAGCCATTCTTCAAGGCTTTGCACAGGTCATAGATCCTCAGTAAAAGCTTCCATGGCCACCCTACAAAATCTGCAGAACTTACTGCCTGTAAGAGGGGGTCCCGAAGTGAGACCTTTGGGACAAATGGAGCCATGCCCATTGGTTACTTATCCTCTAGTCTATGGCTGCTTTTGATCTCCAATGGCAAAGGTAAGTAGTTGCGACAGAGACTACATGGCTGACAAGCCTAAAATATTTACTATCTGGTCCTTTGCAGAAAAGTTTGCCAACCTCTGGTCTATAATTACACTATGCCTGTGTGTCTCCCGCAATACCCAGTCCAGTATTTTACATACACCAGATACCCTTCCATCCCTATTCACTATCCATTAGCAGCAACCTTGCTTCCTGGTCTCATGCAAAGCCACGCGTCTCCCATTATATGTGTGCAGTCCCTTCCCAAATTAGTTTCCATTCTAATGCTAGAATGTACAATCTAAAAAACTGTGAGGTTAACTCACATCAAAATACAAACAAAGTAGTTCCAAGGACCAAAATTACTGGATTGGGGGAGGGAGGAAAATCGAGTAGACAAAAGACAGAATAATGATGAGGCACAGAAGGGTTTTTGTTTTGTTTTTATCCCCCTCACCTAATGAACTCGGTTTGTATTTCTGGTTAGCTCCAGAGTGGCAGAACTCGGCAGTTGTGCCGTTATCAAACTTCCCATAAAGATAACATTGTACAAAATGGTATCTGCAGAAAAAGCAGTTAAAAGGTAAGGGTGTGTACAAAAGTGGACCTAAAGCCAGAAATAGCAATGTAGGGGAAAGCCTTATCAATATCAAAGAAATGCTAATGCGTAAGAACCATAAGCCTTGCTCTTGGCCACTCTGCAGGTTTGCTGGGAGGATTGTGAGACTGCTTGGCAGCAGCCACCTCAGCAGCTGCCACACCCTCTGCGCCTTCTCAGTCTGTCCCCGTGACTTGGAACACCTGTGGAAACCTCCAAGATCAAGCTGGCCGCTGCCCTTCGTCACCACCAGCACTGCCATCAACAACACACAACACAGAGCCTAGCACGCGGCAACCACATTAGACTTGGGGGTCAGAAGATCTCAGGGACTATTTAGATGTCTGACCTTGCACAAACCTTTAAACCTCTTTGGGCTTGTTTCTCATCTGCAAAGTAAAGCTAATAATATTTCTATCGTGGTTGTTATAAAGCAAGTAAGAGAGTGTACGTGAAAGCAAACTAGAACTCTCCCTATATGAACTTAAGAAGTTATTACCACTCATTTCAGAGAAAGACACACACATTTGAACTACTATATGCCAAGCAGGTTCTAGGGGATAAGGTTATGAACAAATCCAGGTTCAGCTGCTCATGTTGCTTAGAGTCCAGAGGAAGAGAATAAGAAAGTAAGTATAATTGCCAGGTGGTGATAACTGTTATAAAACAAAAAGAAAAAAGAAAAAGAAAAAAAACACCCAACAGGTTAAATATATGTAAGAGGAAGAGGGATGCTATTGCAAATAGTACAGTTGGAAAGGTCACTGTCATGAGGTGAGCAGAGACCTGAATGAAGGGAGCAGCCATGGACCCCCTGGGGGAGGGGCACTCCTAGAGGGCAGGAGCAGGCTCGAGGCATCTGAGGCACAGAAGCAGGCCGCCTTGTCCTGGGCACTGGTGCTACAAAGGAAACTGAGGACATGGGACTGGACATACTAAGGGCTAGTGCCCTTGTGAATGTGGAGGCCGGCTACTGCTGGACCTTGGGGAAGTGAAGAACTTAGGTAAGTGAAACTCGTAATAGAAGCAAAGGCAGAGGCAGGGATGACGACCATCACAATAGTATCAGCAACAGCACTCACTATGAGCCAGATGCTGCACCCTGCACCTTTACCTATAGGGTTTCAGGAAATTCTTACAAAGCCTTATTGTCTCCACATAAGAGATGAGAAAATGGAGTCCAGTTACTTCACATGCCTGAGGTCACTAGGCTGGCAGGGCAGGATGGGGCTGCCTGAGTGCTGAAGCTACACGCTCACCACTGCACCGATGTGCATTATGCCATTAAGGAACAAGGGCAGTTCACACTGGCGACCGTGAAGGGAGAAAGCGAGGGGACCAGAGCAGCTGATGGTGCAGACTGAGGAAGGCTGCTAAGGAGACACTCAGCAGATGAAAAGAGGTGTTTTAGGAAGGTTGACATGGTGAGAGAGGAGAAGAGAGAAAACGAGGGCAAATGCAATTGTTTAAAGGGGAAGCGACTACGGCCAGGTCTAGAGCAGGGCCCAGAGGGATTAAGGTGGCCACGGAAGGGAGAGAAGTAACTGGACATTCACATATCATCTTCTGGAAGCTCCAGAGAACTTTCCTAGTGATCTGCTTTTGGCAAAGTCCCTTAGGATGTAAGCCTTATGCTGGTGACCACTGCTTACAATCCTACAGTCTTCCAGCTCTTGAGGGTTTAATGCTGCTGACTTTATTTCCCAACCCATTGGCTTAAGAGGGTTATTAAAGCTGTCACTCCCAAGCTCTGCTTACAGCTGTAGCTAAAATGTCTAGAAAGCCACCTCCTACTGACCCTTCATCTTGACATTATTCCAAACAGATATGGCATTTAGGCATTTCAATCACTAGAAATTTTGGAGGATTAGATAAACGTAGGTTTTCAAACCTGTGAGTCTAAAAATGGGACAAGAATCTTCATCCTATTGTACTTCATGAAATCAAAATCTCTTTTCTGACAAAAGAGGAGACATTCATGACTTCCTTAATCTGAATGCACTTTTAAAATCTTAACCCTTTCTTAGGTGCCTGGATAAACAGCATGGTATAACAGCAAAACCAAATAAACAAAAACCAAAATGGGAGGAGAAACCCTTGGCCTTTGTTCTAATTTGACCACAGAGTTAGCTGTGCAGGTCACAGCTTTTCTGGGCTGAGGCTTCCTCACTGGTAACAGGAGAGGGCTGGCTTCGGTGACCTTCCCAACTCTATGACCCCATGATCTGCAATAATCTCTTTCTTTCCTTAGAGAGATAAAAATTAAAACAAAAACAGGGAAATGATTAAAATGTTAAAATATTATATTTGAAGAAAGACCTCCAATGAAGAACAGAACTTCTGTAATGGTTATTTTTAGAACACAAGCTGCTTCAGGATAGGGACTGCTTTCAGGTTATTTCCTACACGTAATTTGAAAGAAAGACCACACACGTGGTAGGCAGAGAAAGGGGGGCTCTTCCTGGGTTCTGTGGGTGAACAAACAGACCAAGGGCAGCACTGGCTCAGCAAGGGGATCCACAGCTGGCCTGGCCTGTGCTCTTTTTCATGTCTTACTGACTTTAAAAAAAAAATTTTTTTTTAATGTTTATTTTTGAGAGAGAGGGAGACAGACAGACAGAGTGTGAGCAGGGGAGGGACAGAGAGAGAGGCACAATCCGAAGCAGGCTCCAGGCTCTGAGCCTCCAGCACAGAGCCCGACGTGGGGCTCGAACTCATGAACTGTGAGATCATGACCTGAGCTGAAGTCAGACGCTTAACCAACTGAGCCACCCAGGTGCCCCAAAATGTCTTACTGACGTCTATTCAAGATGGTGCCTCCATCTTGAATACCAAATGTAAATCTGCTTCAAGAAGCAGCTAAAGATCAGCAACCGGCACTTCCTCTGGCCAACAGGAGAATAAAGAACTCCTTGGCTCTGGCTACTGCTACGAATGTAGTGGCCAGACGTGGAGCTCAGAGTGTCCAAGACTATGTGATGGCAAACAAGAGGTACACAGGGACTTTTCACTCAGGCCTTAGGAGGCTGGCAGTGCAGCAGACAAATGGACTGCCCAACAGGCACATATTAGTAGAAATCAATAAAATCTAATTTGCTAACAAAAGCATCTATATGGCACAGAGTGTAAGATATGAGGAGTTTGGGAAACCTTCAATCAAAACAACCAGGAGTCAATAACTACAATCAAAAGCCACAGGACTTTTCTGGAATAATCACAACTGGGGCCTTCTCCCAGGGGCCCCTATTTACATTCCCTATTTCCAAGGTAGAGGAGAAATGGAAATAAAGTCTTCTGAACCGCTCTTGGTAACCCAGCAGCATGCCTGATGGACTTCACTATGGACTAAAACACAACTACAGAGCCCAACAGTGTGTTGCCAGCCCTCTGCTGACTCTCAGGAGGAGGGTCAAGGGCTACAGGGCTGAGGACAAGATGGGAACCAGCATAGCAGCCTCTCCTCCAATTCCACTTTGCTCCATGTTCCTCTGCTAAAATATCTCATGGACCGTTCAGGGCAGCGAAGAAAGAGTCTGGGGCTCCCACTCCTGTCCTACTCCCTGTCCCCAGGTAGACCCTGAACTCTGTACTTCAGGATCCTGAAGTACACTCACCAACTGCCTCACAGCAGCACTGAGATGCCAGGAATGTGTCAATTAGGTAGGTCTTATTTACAGGTATGAAATGATTCATCATTGAGGCCTCATTTAATCCAGTTAAAATAAAAGCAGAACATGGGATCAGCACTCCCTACAAGGGTACTCAGCGGCCCTCTCTGCCTCCTTCCTTTGCCCTCACCTTCACGCCCTGTCAGGTACTTACTGTGTCACAGGTGTGCCTGGAGATGGACACGCATGCTCTAAGGCCTCCTTGTCTCCTCTAGGTAGCCCTCGGGCTCTGGTCTCTGTCTGACATGTCCTTTGCCCTCTTTGTGACCACTTAAATCCTCCAGGCCTGTAAAATCCCACTTTTCCAGAAGATCCCAACTTCCATTACCTGGTCCTACTATCTGCTCATACATTAAGCAGCTTGATAATTCTGCTGTTCATCTCTTTGTTCTACAAAGTTCTGTATTTCACCAGTCACTGCTTCAGGTCTAAACACGTGATTTGTTTCATTTATATCCTGTCACCAATACTTAGGCATCTTGGGAGTAGGAACCACATTACACCATGTTATCGTACCACCTCCACAGAATTATGTACTTGTACCATGCTAGGCTCATATTATATACTGAAATGTATCCTTCCTCTTCTACTCAGAAAAAGGGCTGACTGTGGGTAGAGGGATACTGGAGAAGGCTTTCTAAGGCTTTTGAAGTTATGTACCTATCTTCCCTTGAGCTCACTGCTTTAGTACAGAAATGCCAGGAGGTATGTACCACTTTACACCAACTGGGATGGCTAAAATAAAAAAAGACAATAAGGGTTGGTGAGGATGTGGAGAAAACAGCACCCTCATATACTGCCGGTGGGATGTAAATGGCTCAGCCACTCTATAAAACAGTCTGGCAGTTCCTCAGGAAGTCAACCGTAGTTAACCACATGACCCAACAATTCCACCCCTCGGTATATGCTCAAGAGAACTGAAAATATGTACCCACTTAAAACTAGTACACAGATGTTCATAGTCTTGTTCAGAATATCCAAAGTAAAAACAACTCAAATGTCCATCAATTGATGACTAGATAAACAAAATGTGGTCTACCCACACTGTGAATACCATGCCATGAGAAGAAATGAAGTAGTGCCACACGCTGCCAACACCAATAAACCTTGACAACACTATGTTAGGTGAAAGAAGTCACACACAAGAGGCCTCTTATCATATAAGCCGTTTATATGAAATGTACAGAACAGGCAGCAGAAAGCAGATTTGTGGTTGCCTGGGGGTGAGATGAGGTGTGAATGAAGAGTGACTGCTGACGGATACACACGGTTTCCTTTGGGGAGACGAAATGTTCTGGAATTAGATAATTTGATGGTTGCACAGCCTTGTAAATACAGTAAAAACCACTGAATTGTACACTTTGAAAGGGTGAATTTTATGGTATATGGATGATATCTCCATTTTTTAAAAAGCTAAAAAGAAAAAAATCCCTCAAAACAGAAATGCTGGTATGCGGCTGTGTTCCTCAAACTTTAAAACACACAAAACCCACCCAGGGTGATTATTAAGCTATGAATTCCTGGGCTTCCCTGACACCGCCATAAAAATTACAGCCCAAGAGACTCAGTGCAGAATCCAGTAGCCTGCATTTAACAGGTACACCAGGGGCTGCTGAGGTAGGTTATTAGCCAGGAAGCATGTTTCTCAAAACACAGGTATAATGAAAAGAAATTGTAATAATTTAGAATTGGAAGAGCTGGCTTCACATTCATTCTGGTTCTGCTCCTTCCTGGTTGTGTGACCTTAGTCAAGTCACATAACTAGAGTTTCCTTGACTAGAAAATGTAAAGAAGAACATATTCCTCCAAAGAGACAGTGTGCATAAAGTGTCTAGTAGGGTACATGGCACAAATTGGTGATTCCTAACTGGATGCCAATGCCATTCAACAAACATTGTCAATGACTAGAATATGAAAGGCCTGGTACAAGGAGACGGTAATTAATACAACAAAGTTTTAAAATAATCCCTTAATTTTGCAAAATATGAGATAGACTTGTGAAACCAAACATCAGTGTCCACAAACCATTTAAATGAGCATATTATTTTCTATAACCCTGGAAAAGTAAAATGGGGATTCTATCAGGAAAAACAAAAACAACATGTATTCAGGCATTTGATGATGATAAAGAATTTCTAAAGGCTACCTAAGTAATAAAAGGTACTTTTTTTTTGATACTTGTATTGTACTTTCTTTATTTTAATTTGTATTCCCCTCCTCCCCTCCCCACGCAGAATGTACGAAATGTAAGGTTTCCATGCCTTAAGCTTCTCTCACAAGCCCCAAGCATCTCTCCCGTCCCCAGGGCAGATGGAAAATACCCTGTAAGAACACACTTCATGAACCAGTGCGGCCTGTTACCTTCAGGTCACGGTGGATAATAGGAGTTTTGCACTGGTGCAGACGGGCAACGGCTTCGCAGGTGTCGCAAAATATCTGGAGCACTTCATTCTCAGTAAAACCTGTCTGTAGGCGCTGATTCATCAAGTTGACCACCTGGCCTCCTGTGAGGGGACACAGAGCAAGGGAGAGGTTAGAAACACTCAGACTCACCACTCACCCACGACAATGAATGGCTGTCCACAGAGAAGCAACCCGGCCCAAGGTAACAGAGCTGATCACTGGCTGAGCCAGGACTGAAACCCAAGTATCTTGGTTCCCAGGCCCAGATTTGTCTTCTTACGATCCAGTGCTTCTTCTAATGCATCAAAAATGGTTTATTTTATAAAGCACTCCAGACGTGAGCTGCCTTCATGACATCTTCAAGATTAGTATAAGTGACAATTTGGCCCCTCTATGGACAATTTGGTCTACTGTTCCCGTTTGTATGAGACGAGGCCCCAGGTTCAACCTGTCATATCTTTTAGTAAGAATCAGACTACACAACAGACTCCAAGAGCAGGAAGAAGACAGCTTTAGAGTCTGTGCTTTAGAAATGGCTTGGTCTCTCTGGCTTCACTAAGCTACTTGCTGCCAAGAATGTAGAAATGCTACCCCAACATTTAATCTCCAGGACAGTAAAACTGATGACCTCACTTACAAAATTATCCAGATGCCTGGACGCTCCTACTGCCACGTCTCTGAACATTTTACCACCCAAAAGGGAATGGACAGGAGGAAACAAATGGTCAAGTTCAAATCTGGTAGTATTTTATAAACTCAAAGAGTTCTTACAGGACAGGCTGAAATTATTGGTCAACATCACATTCCGAGGGTTAACAACATATTTAACTTATGAACAGTATCTTTAAAGGCAAGGAAAATGTCAGTGGAAGTAAGGATGATTATAAAACAGGGTACCAAACAGTGAGACAGTGACCCAAGCCGGTAAGTGGCAGCTGCTTATGCCAAAAGAAAAGTCAAACCTCCAGACTGGTTATATGAAATGCAGTCAAATCTGAATCAATTCATGCTACAGTCCAGATTTCCTGAGATAAATGTGGCTTGAAACTCCAAGCTTTCAACTACTTAACTCTACTGTTAACAGCAGCATCGTTTGAATGGAGCCTTACTGGCAATTACAGCTTGCAGGCAAGGAGAGGAAAGGTCACTTCCTTTAGATGACAAGGATTACTTCCCACCACCTCCCCTCCCCAACACAAGGTGGTGTGGGTGGAGAAGAGAACACGGGAGGGAGGGAGGGAGTTGAGAGGCTGAATCGTTTCTTTAGTCCATCTGGAGTTGGGTCTTTATTATGTGCCTTCATCGCTGTCTTAAAGCATCACAAATAACACATTCATTCTCCCCCTCATACATTCTCATTCATATACAAGGACCAAACCTTCCTAAATCTAACAAAAAGGGAGTTTTGTATTATCCACCACTCAAATTGTTTGCCACCCTAAGAATAACCAAGACGTGAGAGCATGCTCTGTATCTATTAGCCTCACAGTTTCCACATCTTTAAAACCACAACAACATACATTAGGGCACAGTGCACATTAACTAAAATGACCTCCATGCCCTTGACAATCAAAGTTCCAGAGCCCTGGGAGCTTAAGGTATGGGCCATATACTCACCCCTACAGAAGTCCATCAGAATGAGCACTTCCCATACATCACCACTGCTCACACTGTTGATACTGGAGTCAATGTAACCCACAATGTTCTTGTGCCCCGACAGGTCTCTCTGTAAAGAAGGGTGGAGAAATATAGTAACTGGTTACAGACACCAATTGAGACACAATGAGCCAGTCAGTTCCATTAGCACAGATCATTTAAATACAAAGAGGGTGTGCCTGGGTGGCTCAGTTGGTTCAGCATCCGGCTCTTTGTTTGGGCTCAGGTCATGATTTCATGGTTTGTGAGTTCAAGCCCCACATCGGGTTCTGTGCTGACAGTGTGGAGCCTGCTTGGGATTCTCTCTCCCCCTCTCTCTCTCTTTCTGCCTTTCCCCTGTACTCTCTCTCTCTCCCCCCCTTAAAATAAATAAGCTTAAAAAAATAAAAATAAATAAATACAAAGAGATGACCATAACCGCAATGAGAGGTAGGACTAAAGAAGAGGGTCAAGAGCAGGTTTCCTGTGGTCTCTGAGATTCATGGCCAGATCTTTAGTAATGATTCTACAATCCTAAGCCACAGCACTCTCTTGAACGATGTTCTAGAACCAGATGCACACGGGCTCTTACTTGCTCACTCCATCACTGCTCCACATAAACCAGCAAAGATGCCCATCTCCAGAAGTATTGCAGAGAATCTAAGCTGAGTCCGACAGTATGAATTACTTAAGTGTGTAATTAAGTCAGAAAAATGAAACTGGTGGGGTTTTTTTTCCTGGTTGTAGGTATACAAGTGAATTTAACATGACTTTTAAATTGTTTGTACTTTTTTCCCCCTTTAGGAAATCTGTGAGAAGAATAAGTGCTTTAGAAAGTTTTGAACAGACTACAATGGCATCCAGACCTAAACATTTTGCTCATAATGAAGCCATTCAAACCAACCAAATGGACTATAAGATGGTCATGTTTCCAGCTCTCCTGCTGGAATTGCATATGGTCTCTCAGGGCTGCTTGTGGGATTCACTTAGTCATCAAATGTTTACTGAGCACTTCCTATGCGTGAGGCCCCATTCAGGCATTAGAAGTTGTCTCACACCTTGATATAGTTATTTTAACATCCACAGAGGCAAATCTTTAATGATGACGTTTAAAATCCAATGTCATCAAGAACTAAGATGGGGAAAGAAAAAGTGCACAGGCTGGGGAAAGAAAAGGACTGGTACAAATACAAGGTAAAATTTTTAAAAACTAGTTTTAATAAATTGTTTTACTTTGTTTTAAAAAATTCAGAAGGAGGGGAGTGGAAAAAGAAGTGGTTCTATGAGTCACCATACAAACATGGCACTTTAGACCATAAAAACAGTAACTACCACCACATTAGCCAGAGATTTGGTTGCTTAGAGTGATAGTCTCTTTTAATCTGAAATTATATACCAAGACAAGAAGAAATCTCCTAGTATCAAATGAATATACCTGAACTCTGAGCATCAAAGTTAAAACTCATTAGAACTTTCCACTGAGTGAAGGAGTAAGAATGACTGTTGCCTCAGAAAGGTAGACAAACACAGAAATGTGACCACTGGAACTAACAGTGGGAAGTCACTGGAGCCCTATGCAAGAACACTTTCAGAGAAAGGATGGGATGGGGGTGGTGGGGAGAGCAGAAATGGACTTGCAAAGAGTTGAGCACACAGAGCTGGCGACTACAGATTAGTCTTCTGGAACACTTCGTGCTTCAGAGGAAGAGCATGGAGAGAAGGAATTCTTAGGACAGGGGGGAAGTGAGCATGGGACAGTGGAAGCATCCAGGAGCAGAAACCTTTAGCATACAGGAGAGGACAAAGGATAAGTGCAGGAAGGGGCGGAGACTGAGAGCAGTGTTAAAGGGACTGGTCTTAGAAGAACAGGAAGGAATCAAGGATGGATATGCTCTCCAGAACATACAGCTGGAGAAAATGGAATTTCAGTGAGTTCCAATCTATTGTGATGAGAGAAATAAAAGGCTTAGAGCAACTACTTTGGATAAGAGACAAGGGCAATGATGAAGCAGAAAAGCAGTCTCTTGACTTCAAGTTTCTCCACAATAGAAAATGACTGCAGGGTTCATGTCACAAGGCCTGTTCTTCCTGCTGCTTTTCAGTCTCAACACCAACTCTTCAAAAACTTGATTTCATTTACACAGTCCAGGAAGTAGGAAGAACCAGAGAGAAGTTCTTGAAGCCAAAATAGAGCAGAAGATCATGTTCTCCAAATGCTCACAGGAGGAATGAAAAACTAATGTTTCCACATTAGTAATTCATCTACATTTAACTGTTTGAAAAAGAATCAGCAATGTTACTTCTGATCTGTCTCACACCAAGAGGACGGAAAAACTCAGGAAGGAAAAAAAGCATTTGGTAGAGCCAAGAGGAGGTCAAGAGCTATTAGAGGACCCAAACTGGAAAATTAACATCTGCAGATGGCATCCTAGAACAGCTGCCAAGCTGTCTGCTGATCAGTTCAAGCCCAGATTCCTGTTCATTTGTCTTCTGCAGAGTTCCCGAGATATGTCCAAGCAGAAAAGATCTCCTCTTTGGAGGGAGACCATGGAACTCACTTTTAATGACATGATGATACAGCAGCCTCTCAGATTTTACAGTAAAACCTCACTAGTCTGTAACTGATAGAGAAGATCAATTTGAATGGATGTGAAATGCAGAAAAGGTCAAGAGAAAATCTTACCGCAGAGGGCACAATGCTCAGTTCTCCATATTAATAGGCCATTGGAGGCCCAAGACTCCCTGGCTTTCATTAAAAGCCCGGTCCCAGGCTTGGAGAACAGAAATGAACATAGAGGAATGGGATGAAACCCACATGGTATTGGAGCTCAAGGACTCAGTTAAAGACAGGATATAGGGAAGATGCCTTGATGCCCTTGGCTACAATTATTATTTGAGATGTTGAGGTAAAAGTCTATATGATGAATCTAAGTCAAAACCTGATTTTCAGGGGAGTCAGAAATGTTCAGTTAAATTATAGATCAGATCAGTTTATATTTCACAATTTAATCAGTGATAAGTCTAAGGAGTTTGATTTGTCATTTTAATAATTTTATTTATTTATTTATGTATGTATGTATGTATGTATTTATTTATTGTTTTTTGAGAGAGAGGGACAAAGAATGGGCCAGGGAGGGGCAGAAAGACAGGAAGACACAGAATCTGAAACAGGTGCCAGGCTCTGAGCTGTCAGCACAGAGCCCAACGGAGGGCTCGAACTCCTAAACTATGAGATCATGATCTGAGCTGAAGCAGAACACTTGACCAACTGAGCCACCCAGACACCCCTTGAGTTGTCATTTTAAACTTTATTTTTAAATTAACATATAGGGAGTGCCTGGGAGGCTCAGTTGGTTAAGTGTCTGACTCTTGATTTTGACTCAAGTCATGATCTCGTGGTTTGCAGAGTTGAGCCCTGTGTCAGGCTCTGTGCTGACAGATTCTTGTTCTCCCTCTCTCTCTGCCCCTCCCTGACTTACTCATACTCTCTCTCAAAATAAATAAACAAACTTTATAAAGATGAAAAGAATGGGAAAAAAATACGTGCAAATCATACACACGGTAAGAAGCCAGTATCCAGGCTATGTAAAGAACACTTAAAACTCAACAAGAAAAAGACAACACAATGTAAAAATTGGTAAAGGAAGTGAATGGACATTTCTCCAAAGAGCATATACAAATGGCTGATAAGCACATGAAAAGATGCTCAATGCCATTAACCACTTGGAAAATGCCAATCAAAACCGTAACGAGGTATCATTCCACAACCATGAGGATGGCTATAATTAAAAACAGAAACAAAAATGTTGCCAAAGATGTGGAGAATGAAAGAATGGAATCTTCATACATTGCTGGTAGAATATAAAATAGTGCAGCTTCTGGGGAAGGAAAATGGTTTGGTATTTTCTCAAAATGGAGAGTTACCACTTGACCCAGCAATTTTACTTCTGTGTGTATACCCAAGGGCCATGACATCACATTCACACAAAAATTTGTACACAAATGTCCTTAGTAGCATAATACCAAGAAGTGGAAACAACCCAAATGCCCATCAAGATAAACAAAATGTGGTATAAGTACAAAATGGAATAAGATGTAGCCAAAGTAGCTTAAATATACCCATTTCCATTGACATGTTTTTTTAGTTGCATCACCATTTTGGGTACTCCCACATACATGTTTTGCTTTGTCTATATCTTTTTTACAAGGATATAGACAGGAAAATGAATGGAATACTCCAGGTGTGGTCTGACTCCTGCAGAGTAGACCAGCACTACCACCTACTATTAAGTTTATTAGTGTAGCTAAAAAATGGTATTTTTTTTTCTTTTAGCAGCCACATTACACTACATATTCATATTGAGTTAACTGACCACTACAATACTTGAGTCTTTTTCCACTTATGCTGCTTTAAATCTCTGCCTTCCCAGAAGTATGCTTGTAAAGTTGTTAAAATAAAATAAAAATCGAAGTGTTTGACCTTGCCTTGTTATTTCATCTCATTAGAATCACTCCATTGCTCCAATTCATAAGGATCATTTTAGATCCTGATTCTATTACCCTGTGTAGTTGTTATATCTTTCAACTTTGTATTAGGTACATAATTGATAAGTATGTCTTCTATTTCTTTAATCAAGTTCTTTGTTAAATGTAAAATAACATAAAGCTAATGGTAAGCCGCAGGGCTTTTTTCTTATAAAGTTTTCTCCAGATTAATATAAAATCATTGGTCAGAAAACATTATACACAGTAGCTATTACTGTGTATAGTATAGGCATCCAGCCTAGACCCTCCAACTTGCTCACAGATCTCTGGTGAGTGTTCTTACCCAAATGATACAATCTATAGACCCTGGACCTAGTGCACAATCCTGAGCTTCCTATCCAGAAACCTTCCCAAAGAAACCATGATGCTGATATGACATGGCATGCTCTTAATCCAATCTGTAGGCTCTTTGGATCCCTGCATACTTATCCAAGTGACTACAAAATAACTTAAAATTTTATTTTAAAAATAAGTAATATATTAACATTATAATATATAGAAGGAAATTTCTACTCCAATACTCATCCCCAATAAGGAACCCTCACC